TCAAAGGGGGATCGACATGCTCGTGGACCTTCCGCCTGAATGATTTAAAAATTTTTTCCGACGTTAATAGAAATTCACCGAGCTTGTCGCATGAATTGGTAAACGAACAGCATGTACAGGTATTCACTTTCCCTACATGAAACGGATCAAATATAAGGTAACCTTACCTCATCCCATAATTAATTTTAATGTAAAGAAACATGTCGTGGTTAGGAACGGACCATTAGAAAACTTATGGGGGGGGGGGGGCGAAGTAAAAAAAAAAAAATTCGCGCAAGGGAAAATTAAATAAAAAAAAATTCTTGCACGCCAATTAACCCTAAAAAATATTCATGCTATGGCCTAAAAAAAATTCATACAAGGAATTTGACAACGAAAAAAAATTCCTGCGGCTCGAAAATTCCCCCCCCCCATAACTTTTCTAATGGTCCGTCCCTTAAATGCATTGTTTCTATAGTTTGGAACAAATTTATGCTCTAGGTCAATTAAAGGAAATTCTGATATTTTCTGTTTTATAATTTTTTGAATTGGGTTGATTAGGCGGCGATAAGAAACGAAGCAATTTCTTATTCATCGGAATTTCCTCCAAGAAACGTCAGGAGTTGGGTCCAGTTTTAAATTTCAATTTAACCCAGAATGTTAACCTGTTAAAACCACAGGGAACCCGAACGCTGTATTAACTAATAGGAAAATTTTAATAGTTAACAATTAAAATTGTTCACTATTAACCCTCCTCTATAACGGCCACGAGATCATCTCCGAAGGAGATCGAGACCGGTCAGTAGTTAACATGACAACATTAGAAACGTGAAACGAAACTTGAGCGTCTTATTTACGACGCTGCAGACAAGCAAACGCATTTGTGATACCCAGCAATAATGTTATCTCTGATCGGATTCAAATCCCGTCCAAAACGACTCAAAAGACACAGGAACAAATGTAAATAAATTTTATTAGCTAATACAGCGCAAATACATCTAATTTTTCTATAGATCCTTTTCACATCAATCCTCTCTCATTCAACTAAATAAGAAACTAAAATTTTACTCTCTTTTCAACCAGACAACAAGAAATCTCATTACTTGGACCTTATAAAAAACACAAATCACCGACGCAGAGTGGCAAAATTTAGAACAAGCAATCATAAATTAATGATAGAATACAGGAGATACTGCACGCCCAAAATTCCTGAACATCTCAGATTGTGTCAATTCTGTTCTTTAAATGAAATCGAAGACGAGCAACACTTCATATAAACTGCACCCTTTTAATACCTTCATGAAAGACAATCTCTCCTTGATTCTATAAGTCACAAATATCCTAATTTTCACCCATTGAGTACAAACGATATGATACTTTTTTCCTTCAATAATGTAGATCCCTTTGTCTGCAAGAAACTTGGCCATTTTATTTTTCTGGCCTTCGAAAAACGTGAAAGTAGATCATTAAACATAGCTACAATATAGTTAGCATTTTCCGTGTAATTTTAGCCATTATTATTATTATTATTATTATTATTATTATTATTATTATTGTTTACAATGATAAATGTTACTTTCTTTTCTTTTTTTTTTGGCCTTTACCTTGACATAATCAATATTGTAATCGGCAATGCCATCTACTCATGGAAATGCCAATAAAATAATGTAGTTGTTGTTGTTGTTGTTTTCACTGTTATGCCAACAACAAAAAAATTGGAACAGTCCAGTGGAAGAAGCCAAGAAAATGACATGATATAAAAGATTAACATATAAACAATGCGTCCAAGTCTAAAGTCTTTGTGGCCTACAGTTTCTGAGTTACTTGCCGAAACGTTTCACGCTTCTCTGTAGAGCTTTGTAGGGAGACGCCATTGGTGTACCGGTTTGGTGCACCAATATGGCCGCCGGAAATCAACAAAAACATCTGGAGTTCACTTTTTCTACAAAGGCTCTTTCTTTTCACTTGAGAACTAGCATACGTGCGCGTAAACATATCTTCTAATACTCGAAATGGGTATCAAAAGGAGACACTTTTTCAACGAGACAGCATTCCAATTTTGGTGTCACGCACTGTGAAACTCGGAAGTTCAAATTGCTGTATTTTCGAACTGAAACATGCTAAGGGAATGGGTACAAAGATTTACTTTTTGTTTATCTTCAACCTAGTGTAAATAAGAATTCGTAAAACTTCGCTATTTTGACTATACAATTTGAAAACGTCACTGTGAAAGCCATCTATTAGCTAATACAGCGTTCGGGTTCCCTATACCTAAACCAGTGATGAGTAACCGACCGGTAAAGAATTACCTGTACCTTTACGCCAGATTATATATACGTAGCTGAAAAATGTTTAAGATTGAAAAACGAAAACAAAGAACTAACTATAGAAAAACAAAGCAAAGAACTACCTCTTACTGAATTTTCGCGTGTCCACCATAAGCATTTTGAGCGACGAATCTCATCCACGTGACAGCTGTCCACCTCTTCTTGTACTTTGCATTCTACCCAACCTGAGTTGCTCTTGACTAGAAAGAATTCCAAGTTGTAGCCAAGGGCACGGGATACCGGAAAGGTAACAAAACAAGGCAATTTGTCACCCCCAAGAAAAATACGACCGACCGAATGTAAGACGCGTGCTGACTGACGTCATCCCGTGTAATAAACAGCGGATAGGCCCTGTAAGGCAAGGCTCAGCAATCCGTCGCCTGTACCCTTTAATACACCTGACTGGTGAAGAGAGACAAAGTGGTCTTGGAGTAACGTTCTTTGTCGAAGAAAACAACGCGACGGGCGAGGCTTGCAGTCCGGTCCTCCAGATTCGGAGTTCGAGGTGTTAACCTCTTGGGGATAGGCCCTAAAATAAAACGTAATCAACGGCTAAAATGTGCCACCCTCAGTCCGTTTTTTGGTGTTAACACTTTTCTGTTTGCATTGCCTGTCTTTTGATACCAAGATATTCAGGTATTTGTCTTGTGGGAGAAGTTTCTACCACAAGGGAATGCAAACAGAGAGGCGTTAACACCAACAAAGTAGGATTATATATCTTATAAGAGGTATATTTTTATCGGCTTTGTGTGGCAAGTTTTAAGTGTTTTTCGTTTCAAGTTTCTTGTTGTACTTTTTTCCTTCGTGTAAAAAGAAGAAAAAGGTGGGAATGGCGAAGTTTAGCGGTAAATTACTGAGACATTACAGGTAACCTATTCCCCATTTAATTCCCAGACATCATCTTAGGCGGCTAACGGTGAGAATAAGGCCAGGAAAAGGTAAAGTTGAAATTTCCTAGCATATATGAATTAATTCAGGTGTACAATAAGGCTTGGCCAAACCAATAAATCGGTGGCATATTTTTTCTTGAAGTGGGAGCACTACTTTTATCTTTTATGGATCCAATTTAACTTGATAACATTTAAGGAATGTAGTATACAAGCTTAAGTTAGAGAATAATACTATGGCTCTTGGCTTAAGCGCTCAGTGGTTCACGTATAAAGAGAAATCATTTCGAACGTAGTCAATACTCAAGTAGATCTTGCAATTAAAATATATAGAGGATATTACACGGGGACGCGAAGATATGAATTTTATTTTCGAGTGGCAAAACAATATTTTACGAACGAGCGCAGCGAGTGAGTAAAATATTGTTTTTGCCACGAGAAAACAAAATGCATATCTTCAAGCCGCCGTGTAATGTTCTTTTTATTATATAGACAGAAAGACATCGATAAAATAATAGAGGGAAATTACTGAAATTACGCCATCGATAAACTCACGTGTGAGGTTATGGAAAATAAACCCTCGGGTCCCGGATGAAGTTTTTATGAATTTTGCGAGTGGTATATTTTCCAGTAAAACACTCGTGTTTATATAATAATAGTGTATATATAGCTTGAATGTTTATGATTTGTATAATCTTGTTCCATCATTATGAGATTTGTTGCATATACCAGATAAAACCTTCCCCTGGGTACACCCTCGAGGGAGATGTTTTACTAAACATAATTCTTCCTCTTTTCAATTGGTTCCTCTGGAAGTTCTAAGAAAAAAACAATAATACATACCCCTTGAGAAATATTTTTCTAGAAATTTTTTGTCCACCAGATCTCCTACATAACTGACGGACGTTTTTTGTTTGTAGGTAAGCATGAAAATCAGCGCAGTGATATATGGCTGGCTGATTTTATTTACAAGTAAGTCAAACTACAGGCTGCTGACAGCCTCCTCCATTGGTGTCGTAAAGGCTTAGTAGACAAGCAAGAAGCGTGAGAGCTCGAGACAAGTGAAAGAGGGGATAATGAAAACTACTTCTTTCAATTGGCTCCCGCTGCCTTTAATAATAATGTTCCCAAAAAAGTGATCTAGAGCGGCTGGAGAACGAGGAGGCAGGGCCAATGCCCGGGGGGGGGGAACTGCCATATATGGGCTATATGGGTATGTGTCGCTGTGAAGGGAATGGTTTTCAAGCAGTTTACTCTGGGATAGGGTATATAAATCAGAGAGTTTGGTCATTTAAACTTGTCAATTGGCTGAAGATTTTAGTGAAACCGGGAATTGCCACTTAAGAATATAAAAAATCAAATCGGTTTTGTTTTGGCTGGACCGTGCTAGTGACCTCAGTCAGGAGCCCATTGCCTCAGTTATTTCTGGAAAACAGCTACTCTAGGGTAGAGGGGATTTGGGGAGTTTAGTGTAGTATAAGGTAGGAAAATTCACTTGAACTAGCTCTGGAATAGGCTAAGGGTTCCAGGGTCCCAGCAGCACATCACCACCCAAAACGTCCTGAAGTCCCCCCCTCCCACCCCCCGGGGGGCAAGTGAGATAAACCACTTTCAGGAATTTTGTTTTGGGGGGAAAGGGATTTGATATTTCGTTGGATTCATTGTCAGCTGGGAGCCTGCGGAAAATCAGGGATTTCACATTTTTGGCTTACGTCATAACTACCAATTGCAACATACAGTTAAAAGAAATGAACATTATATACAAAATAATTTCATCGAACTCATTTCATTCTCAATCTTTATAGATATGTCACTTGCAAAATGTATGGTCATCTTCAAGCAGCCATTTAGCTACGAAGAAAAAACAGATCGACCAATCATAGGTAATTAAACAGTGCGGATATAGTCTGTGGGGGCGGGTGTTCAACTAAGCCGGTTTATACGGAATGGCTTCGCGCTATGGTCCAACCCTTTACGCTACAGTTTTTGACAGAAAAGGGCCCCTTATGTATACCTTCTACTAAAAAAATAAGTCTCCTTTTACAAAACTTATGCGAACATTGACTGATACGTTTTTATATAGCGGGAAATTTTTTCACAACAGCGCGCGCTCTCATTGGTTACTTGGAGGTCACATGACATCTAACAATGAAACTGTTTCCCAACAAAATCTCTGAGAGGGCAAGATTGCAAAATCTATGAGGTCAGAGGGTAACAGTGCACTGTTACCCAAGAATGTTGTTGTAATGTTGTTACAGCGAGGTTAAATGAATTTCCAGCTTTAAAATTGCCAGCTGTATAACAAATCTCTTAAAGACTGGTCCCAAGGGAAACAGTTAATTTTGCTTCCCGAGAATGTTTGCCAGGCGGAGCGGCTTCTGGGCAGTACTTTCCTATCAACCTGTTTAGGAGCCCATGACCTGGAGCGTGCAACTCCCATACTTAGCGTACGCAACAGCGTTTTCACAGATCGAGTTATTTTTAGCATCATTTTGGAGCAATTTTCCCCGCGAAAATGGAACCTTCGTTTCTTATACTTGGGCATCTATAGTACGATAATTATATCAAGGCACCAGAAATACTATATTCTAGGTCTCCCATTTTTGATGACTGAATTGTAAAACTTATTCCATAGTCAAAATTGGCGGGAAAATCGATCCAAAAATAAACTGGTCTATGAAATACTGTTGATGGGCACAATCGAGTTGCTCGCTCCAAGTAATGGGGTCCTGCCTGTTATATTATACCTCTTACAATACACAAAGCTTATACCCCATTCACACCAACTAAACATGTTTAACCAAACACAGTTTAGATAAACACTGGTTTAACTAAACGTGTTTTACTAAAAAACCGTTCACATCGAAGCAGTTTAGTTTCGCGCGAAAGTTAAACTACCTCCTACAGGTTGTTTAGTGAAACATGTTTAGATTGCTTCAGCGTGCGGTGTGAACTGTTTTTATTTTAAACTGAGTTTAACAAAACATTATTTAAACATGTTTAAGCGTTGGTGTGAACGGGGTATTAGTCAGTTCGCAGATACGAAGAAGTAGCGGTTTCGTTAATTTAACACTCTCCACAGGAAGAGTTTATCAACTGATTTACTTAGAGAAACCCGTCCTGATAAATTCTAGGAAGTTCAGTAGAGTAAGAATGGTATAGTATATCATTGTGAAGAGGACAATGCATTTTTTGCCTAATCCAAGTTACAGCAGGAAAGTGAGGCTGATTTCTTAATCAGCGTCCAGAACGTTTATTTCTTTGTCAATCCTAAAGGAAACGCGCTTACTGTAGGTTAAATCAAGGAGATGTTGGTTTGGGTGGTGATCGTAATAACACGTGAATAAGCACGTGACCATTCAAGTCTCTTACAACCCCTCTAAAATCCTACGAAAAGGTATTTTTGGATATATATGGCGGTACTTTTAAAGTGCTTTCGCTCACTACGTATGTCAAAGCAACCGTGCGATAGCGATGAGTAAAAGTTCTTTTAGCAAGCTACTAACTTAACTTTAATCATGAGTAATTTAAGGTAATTTCATAACAACTCTCCGAAATGTTATTCTTTCCTTTACTCCGTCTATTCAAAGGTGTTTTGACTCAAGAAACAGATGGGCACGTGACAAAATTTGGAACTCAGTACGTTGCGGCTTCTTACGTGAAATTCATTGAGTCTGCTGGAGGTCGGATGGTCCCGGTTCTGTATCCTTTTATTTCGGTGAATACGTTTTTGAAGCTGATTTGAAAGACTCGTTATGTACATCGGTGTCATTAAGGTTATTCCTTAGTACTGCATTGCGCATCCTTCCTGTGCACAATTTCACGCGTGATAAGCGGGCGCACATAAAAACATAACGGCTTTTCCCTTGAGGCTTGAGATTCTCAGATGGGTAAATCTTCATTTTCTCTAAACGAGTATACTGACCTATCAATTTTTTCTCTTCCTTTAAAATGAGCGGTAACTGTCGTTCTCGAGAATAAATTAGACTAATTTCCAGTGCAGAAAAAGAAAAAGTCGTAGGAAGCATTTTCAAAGCATGTGACTCGTAATCATAATCATATTGGTATTTTAAGGAAGAGACCCTTCCAAGGTGTTTTTCACCTTCTGACATAGACCAGGGGAAAATCCGTCGATACTACTGGAAGGAGCCACTGAAGAGCGCCTTAAAATTAGTAAAACTACCAAGTTTGAAAGTGATTTGTTGAAAACTAACGACGATATGGCTCCTAAAAGTCACGAAATTTTACAGATGTTTGTATGGAGGGTGGGGGGGAGGGGGCACAAACTTGCCCCCACCATAAAACGTCCGTAAATGTTCGCAAATTTGCAGAGCTATATCTTCACTCGCTTAAGACGTATTACTTCCAAATTTTGCATAGCTTACCAATTTCTAAGGCCCTTGTTCTAGCGGAGTCGGCGGATTTTCCCTGACTGATCCATCAGTTAAAAGCTCTGAAAAAATACGTGCAAGGGTCTATGATAGCATGTATACAAATTGCTGCTGCTTCTATACTAGTATGGGGACCCCCAAATTTCATTTCAAAATTTACGTTTCTATAATAAACAACCAATTAATCGGTAAAGTTTGACAAAAATCTCACTGCAGGTTCTATTTCAGAGTAATGACCTTAAAGCCCTCTTAGCACTTAAAGTTAACTCATAGTGAATCCGCTTCGGGTAGTTTTAGTTCCGGTTTAGATTCCACTTGAAAGCTTAGATAATAGAGACCGAATATAGACCTTTAGATTCGAGACCTTTAGTTCCAAGAAAACTAATAACTCTTTATTTGAAATTACTGACATTAAACATAACAAGTACAATGAATGTTTGTTGTAAACAGTTGCTATCTTAACACAATTCTAACTACAGCGTTAACTCAACTTCAGAGCAGATTGAGAAAATGTTCAATTCCATAAATGGGTAAGCATACGCAAATTTAAGCTTTCTGCATGTCAATATAGTAACATATTGCCACTAGCTACAATACACATAAATATACAATGCGATATGGAGGGGTGAAAATTAAATGGTCGCTGACCACAGGTGTCTTCAATGCATCCACATGCATTGAAGGCAGTGCACAGCGTCTTGCCTTGGGGTTGGGAGGGCGGGTAGCTGACCGCCCTCTGAGATGTTATTTGACAAATACACATAATAGGAAGAATGGTGCTAATATATACAACGCTAGGAATTGTGGGTTATCTATTGTTATGAAAATATTCTTGCTTTAATTTCCGGTATTGAGAATAGTTAGAAATTTTAAATAATCTTATAAAAATGGCCGTCAGTTTGAAAATGAACCTCGTCAAAGTAGCAGTTTACAAGCCACGGCCAAAATTTTGGATTTACTCTCGTAACCTGCTCAAGTTGAGTATCCACATGAGTTCTTCCTAACAGTACGAGTATCACGGCAGTCTTCAGAGCACGGAATTGATCGCTGGTGTGTGGTGTGAATGGGGAGACTCCTACCGCTAAGAAAAGATTATTTATCAATCCATATTTTCCCTTCAGGGTAATTTTTCCGGGCGGTCATAGGCTAACAAACACAAATTATACAAGAGTTGGAAAACAAATATTCGATCTGGCCCTAAAGGTGAGCTTTTCTTTCTTTTTTTTGTCGGTATTTCCAAGAGATGTTAGGTCTTTTCCACTGATGTGATCTGGAACACCATTGGCCGCCATTTACATGCTTGCCGTAATGTTCGCACCACTAAAAATCGAGTCCAACAAACGTGGAATGTCTGCGATCGCTGACTGATAAATGAAATTATCATTCGATGCAAATTTTTCTTAATTTTCATTGGCCGAGAACCCATCACGTGACCTAAAAATCTGGAAATAACTGCCTGAAAATAATGGTCTGTTTATGCACAATATCGTCCAACGGCGTTTGGCTGCAAATATTCTGCTCATGTATAAATGAAACCACGCCTTTCTTCTTATTGTGTTCGCTCTTGCGTGAAAATGGCAGATATTCATTAAAAAACAAACTTGGTGATTTACTGATAAAGCAATTATTGAACTCGGTTGTCTCGCAGATAAATTATTTGCTCCGCTCGCCACTGACAAATCACGATATTTTGCTCAACCTCGCCCAATAATTGTTAATTATTCGTATGTCTGCAATCGTCTAAATACTTCCAACGTAGACACCTTCCAGTCGTGTCGAAGAGCTCCGCAGAGAGATTCAAGCTTAATCGTGCAAATGATAAAGAGCTGTTGTTGTTGTTGAGGACGATAATGAGGATAAATACCTTTACAGTAAAGATTAGAAATTATGAGGCCACGTACTGTTTTTTCAGATTTTTGTTTGTTTGCTTGTTTGTGTTTTGGCTCCTTCATCTTTTTATATATTTTTTAACATCTTATTAAAAGCTTAATCAAAGACCCCTTACACTTTTTACAGGCTTTTGATAACGGTGATGTGTTTCCAATATGGGCAGAATGTCTTGGCTTTGAGCTGGTCTCAATGTTGGCAGCTAAACGAGATTTGAGCTCTGGGATTGTTGACCGCAAGTTTTTTACCAAAGTTGATGCCCAGAACATTAGCCTTCCTCTTCATATTCCTAAAGGTTTAGTTATTTATTTATTTATTTATTTATTCCATTTCTTTTTGTTTGCATTTAGAAGCCTAGAAAATAAAACTCTCCTTCAACTAGGCGTGGACTTTTATGATATTCCATCCTCGTGAAATAAAACATTCACTCGGAAACACCCTAACTGTCGGGAAATTTATATTGTTTTATTATCATTTTGCCATACACACAAAATATACATTTAAAATTCAAAAAAGGATAAGGCAAGGGAGCGCAAGGAAGCCAATAAGCCTTGTGTAAATTTTGGGGTATTTCAAAAAGAATTTCTCCGAAACTATTTGGTATATGGGACTCAGATTCTCTGAGATAACTGAAATTGTTATGATCTTTCAATATTTAAAGGTTTTATTTTATTAGCTTCATCAGATAATGATAAGCCTATGATTATGAGACAATAAATGTAAAAAAGGATTCGCCTATAGCATTAGCCAGCCTTGATCAGATTAGCGCTCTACTTGGTAAGGCAGTACGCACCTTTCTTTTTAACTCGTGTCATCGATAATTGATCATAGTTCGCACTCTGCCTCCTCCACTCCCCCCGCTCTTGGGAATTCGCCCTCATCTTCGACTCCTCTCCATCTTATTCTCTCTAAAAGCCTGTAGCTACAAAATGAACTGTGGTTAGTCTATCATAAAACAGGACCTTTATTATACCTTGGGGGTGGGTCTTGTTAGGGGGTCTCCCTAGCCTCTTACCACGGACGCGTTTTCCGCTTTTAAACCAAATTTTACTTGCTCTGCTTCAGATAAAGAGATACAGATACAGAGAAACTTTTCTTATCCACAGAGCGTGTGATGCCACAAGAAAAAAAGTACTTTCTCAAAACGTAGCTTGCCTGTTTGCTCAATTTACAACTATATGTTCAATAGATTACAAAAACACGGCTTTGTGGAAGCATGCCCCGTCCAATATCGTGGATTACTTGGGTAGAAACTCGGTGACGTACCATAACCACAGATTCGCTATCACACCTCAGGTCAGTCATAGATACTTGTAATAAGCACCATACACAACATAAGTGGGTGGAATTAATTGTGGGGATGAATAAAGACCTCCATCAGGAGGGTGTGTTGACATGACTGATGTGTCGACCAACTCTTTTTGGTAGTCACTTCAGGGTAAAAGTATCCAGTTTCACATCAAGTGATGGTACCCCAAACACGTTTGGTACACGTTAACTCTTGGTGCCCGTGCAAAGTGCCTGAGCATGGTTCTCGTTAGGCAATATTGTGAACACACTCTTTTTTCAATTGTCCGGTACCCAAGGTGTGAACACAAAACAAGAGAAAGATTGTTATCGCTTTTGTCATAGCAACTTGATTAAGTCATTACCTTGTTCTCAGTTTTTCTTGGGCTGAGAGGTTTTTTTTTAGAGTTATTCATGTTTCCAATCAAACTGTCCTCCTCTAATTATTTATTCATGTCTTTGTTATTGCAGACTTACCGCAAAACGAAACATTTACAGGACTTTTTCAAAGTAGTTTCCACAAGTAAAGATAGAAAGGGAGTAGAGTTCATTTCAAACATGGAAGGTAACTTTGAATACTGATACGTGACGACGAAAAGATTGTGGAATTAACCCTCTTTTTAACTCGTCTGTTTGTCTTGATTGTCAATGCCTTTCAGGTAAGAGGTACCCAATCTACCTCTTTCATTGGCATCCTTCGAAAGCGCAGTATGAATTGCGTACAGATCTGGACATCAAACATTCATTTAGACTTATCCTTGCGGCGCAATACCTGGCGGATTTCTTTATCAGACAAGGTAATAATAATTAATACGGTCGAATCTCCATGTGTAGGACAGGAGAGTGATCGCTTAAGGGTTGTATGACTGTAACCTGAGATCAGGCCCAATTTGAGCGGGTCTCATACATTTTCTCTAACGGCTACCGCTGAAATTGGGCCTGATACAAACTATTACAAGTTTGTGCTCGTTACGGCCAGATTTTGGCCGTAACGCTGATTGGCTGTTAGAACAATGCCACAAGATCTGATTGGCTGTCGGAAACGCCGGAAGTTGAAAACGCTTATTCCTCGCGTGGTTGTTTTCGTGAATGATCCGTCGTCGGTGGAGAGAAGGATCGATTTTGCTGTCTTTTTATTGTTTTATGGTCTTATGGTAGGAAAATATGCCTTAATATGTGCCATGGAAATTCAGAAAATTCATGTGGTTGTTCATATCTTCTCAGGATTTGCTTTATTTACGGAAAGTGAGTGTATCGCGGAGTTGAATCCCTCTGCAAGTTGTTGACCGCTAACAAGGTGCATTTTGATTAACAGATAAAAGCTATTTTTTAAGTCAGCCAGTATGCAGTTTTCCCACGCGTGAAAAATTTGCATACTAGAAAAACAAGCAGCGGAGGTAATTCTGATTGGTTGATTCGGCAAATGTCAATCAATCAAAAAAGTGGGCGGCAGACATTTCGTTAAAGGTTTGTATCAGGCTCTCTTTCCGTTTCGTCTTGCCCGCCGGAATGTAATTTTCAAAGCGAAACGAAAATAGAGCCTGATCTCAGGTTAGTGTGACTGAAGCTCTTATTTATTCGGGAGTTGAACGTCCTCTGGTATAGGAACTTTAAACCCGCTGAATATCATCGATCAAGGTTCACAAAAAGTTTGATTCAATATTGGGAAAATATTGAGGTGATAGATTCTTGAGCATGATCGATTTGACTTCTGCGTCGAGCTAACCATCTACGATGTTTGCCCAAATTTCACAAGAAAAACCAGCAACTTTTTCACATGTTTCATTCTGATGCACGAGTCCAAGCTGTGGACATGTGTAAAGTGCTAGCCATACCGCAGGATTGGCGTTCGAGTGCCACTTCCTTCCTGTTTTCACCTTTCGTGTAGTGTATATTTCACACAGTAGTATATCTTTAACAATGTTAATTGTTCGTGATCTTCTTTTATTATACAGCTATTTCGAAAAAGGTTGTCGGAAAAAAGTGCACTTGACAATCCCGAAAAGTTTTGTGGGTGGTTTTGAAGTTCACTGTTCTTCAAAGAAATTTGAAAAAATGGCACCAGAGGCCATGGACGTATGTTTGCAAGTGCTAAAGGAAAGCAACAAAAGGGGGTTCGACAGCTAAAGTGTCAGGAACATTGTATTGATCATATCCCATTTTACCTTTCGGGATTGTCGCGTGCACATTTTTCCGACAACCTTTCTCGAAACAGCTGTATGGCTACAATAGTCGCTCTGATTGGCTGTTTTCTTGTAATGACCGGGCATTACTAGCTAAGTGTCCAAAGAATATATAATCTGTGTTTAAAAATTGACAGCTGTCAAAAAGATATCCGCTGACCAGTGTCACCTGACTGTATCGCGGACTCAAGTGTACAACTCACTAAAGTGACGTGTTTTTAAAAAGTTACCCCTGGCCAGTTGTTGGTTTTAATTGATCGCAGGCTTTAGAGTCTTGATTTACGTAGTTATATAATTCTTAGTTTTTATCCATCGACATTGTACATAGTTTTTGCATTTTTCTGATAGTTGTTCTGTTATAGTTATTTTTTTCCTTTAATTGTTAATTTTTTAGTTGCCCAGGGCACCCATTTATAACAGCTTCAGCTAACGGGTTTATCCTGGTTAAATATGTTATTATTATTATTATCATTATTATTATTATTAGGTCCATAATTAAAAGGCCATATAACAAATAACTTATTAACCTCGTCCGTTCGGTCATTACAGGGAAATCTTGGTACTCGGCCTTCCACGGTCTGAAATTTCCCTGTAATGAACTCACTCTCGCTTAATAAGTAGTATATATTTCACACAGTGGTATATCTTAACAATGTTAATTGTTCGCGATCTGCTTTTAACCCTTTTCCCCATAAACATCTTTGAGTTTTAGAGGAAGAGACCCTTCCTGCTTTCCTGTGAGCCGCCCCATGTAACGTAAGCTAATGTAATCCGGACCCGGAATGCAGGAAATTTTATTTCTGGTGGAATCCGCAAACCTCGGCTTTTGAATCCTGAATTCAGCTCAAGGAATCTGGAATTCCGCTATTTCTAACGATTGGAATCCGAAATCAAAGTTAGTGTAGGTAATAGCATGATTTGTAGTGATATTTGGCATAAATACCACGAGTGATATTTCGAAATGGTTATACTCGAAATTTGAGACAATTTTGAAATATCACGAGGGGTACATATGCCAAATATCAAGTACAAACATGCTGTTATTTGTTTATACTATTACCCAAAAAAGGTTTGTAATTTTCACATGTAGGTATTTCAAATTAAGCTGAAATACCACTGCTCTAAGCCAATCAAATTGCAGAAATTTCTCATGTAGTAGTATAACACAAGGAATCCAGAATCCATTACCTGGAATCCGGAATCCACAGCGTGGATTCCAGAATCTAAGGCTGTCTTGGATCACCTTACATGCTGTGAAGTAAACGAGGGCATTAACTAAATAAGCCACAATTGTTTTACCCACAGCAAGGCGCAGTAGTCACCAGTTTTCCAGTGAGGAGGAGGAGAGAGCTGCTTTGATTTATAACTACAAAATGGCTTATGTTGAAAAATTGCTGCCTGTTAGTCAAGCTTACTTTTTTTGAAGTTGTCAATTAAAAGTCATTTCACGGTTTAAACCAAGGAATTGTAATACCGGCGAATTTTAATTTAGTATTGTTGGTAGGCTGTTCTAGGCTCCCGAGATAGTATGGACGTCGCGAAAACAAGGCCAGGTCTAGCTAAAATAAGACGCACGTGATCTGGGAAAAGAGGACGGTGGTAGAGAAAAGGAGAAACTAAGGAGTAAATCTGAGGCAAAGATGGTAAATACCATATTTAATTTACATACCAAAAAACACGGGTTGTTAAGAAGGCAAATGTGGCCGTTACCATCTTTGCCCCAGATTTACTCCACAGTTTTCATAACTTTGCGACTTATTTGGCGAGGGCAAACTTTTCGTCCAGTGCTCCAACGGTGGACCTAACTACGGGACAAAATCCAGGTGTAGTCATAACAGAGGTACCATGAGACCCTGTCTATCTAGTTTAGAATCTTTGAAAGCAAAAAAAGGACAGCAAAAAACCGCGACTAAGATTGCGAACCTGCATTTCCTCAAGTTAGCCTAAACAGGTTCTCACATAAATGGTAATTAGTAGGTACTTTAATAGGTTCTTAATTTGTGAAGAAAAACTACATTGAAGCTAAGAGAATCTAGTGGCATATTCAGCTTAAACCCTTTATAAAGTCTGCATACCATTACATTTGCAGTTGGAGTGATCACCTATGTCTTTAAAGAGGATTCTGAATTTGACTTATCTTGTTTGCCCAAGTATACAGAATTTTGTTTATAGAGCAAGAACCTGTTTCAAATTTTAGGCTAAAAAGGTTCCTGTATGGAGGGGGTCTAACTTAGCCTAAGGGGTCCTTAAAAACTAGGCCCCGGTTGCTCAAACGTTGGATAGTGCTATCCACCGTATAAATCACTATCCAGCAGGCAGGGTATATTTTAGGAAAACCGATTAGGTTATCCATTGGATAGAGATTCATCCAGTGGATAGCGTTATCCACCTTTCGAATAACTGGGGCCAGGTTTCTAGTGCCGGGTTTTAACTGTTATCTATTTATTACCCAAAAGACACAGGTTCAATGGTTCTTTGTCAGGCGTCGAACGTAATTAGTCGAACTCGATTCATTTTAACGATGTACAGTCTACTATAATGCTTACCAGTATAAATAAATTATCATTAATAGTAATTTATGCATTAGATTCGGCACATGAAAAGTTCGACGTTTGTAACTGACGAATCGCTCCACAGTCTAAATTCCCACGAGGACCATTCGAAATTAATTCACATGGATCGACCCAAATAAGATATGTCGGACTTAACTGATTCAAACGTCGATCTTTTCATCTACTTAGTTGAAAGGATAAGGTTCGGTACATGAAAAGCTCGTCATTTGAGACCTGAGCCCAAAAATAAAGACAATGATTTTACTGAGTGCAGCCTGTCTCCATTCATTTAACTCTGCTTGTTTCAGTTTAAAATCAACGTACGTTTTTCCACGGCAAATTTTGGTTACCTGGACGGTAATTCTACTTTCATGCTAGTTTTAAGTCGCTTTAATCTTAGCTTTAAAAGCGTTAACTTAGTCCCACAATAAGGTTTATTAAAATAGTCAAAGAGCGCTAACAGAGCACCTGCTAAACGCTTTTGACGGTTTAATGGGTGGTCTTGGTGGGGCGGTCTTGACTACAAAGCGTAAATTTACTGAAAAAAGTTCGCAGCGGCGAAACCAAGTCTACTGCTATCCTGAAGGCAATGAAACACTTGCTTAGTAGCCTGATTCTCGTCTCATTATTGCCTTCCCTAGGCGAATGTCGTGGCGGGAAAAGTTTAGAACGTCACGATATAGCAATCAATTACGTGAATTTGGTTGAAAATCAGTTTCGTAGGTTAGAATCCTTTATCCTGAGTACATTACAAGTCTCCGAGCTAGCCGATTGCGTATTCCATTGCTTGGTAAATGAAGGTTGTTTTTCATTGAACTTTGGCCGGGAGGCTGCAGGAAGTGATAAAAGACATCCATGCGAGTTACTCAGTGGTGATATTTTCAGAGAAGCAGACAACCTTGTAGCTCAGTCGGATTTTCATCATTATAGCATCAAGGTACATGTGGCTTGTTTTGTATTTCTTGCGAGTACCTTATGGACATTGAAATCTGCTCATATTTAAGATAAGAGATTTTCATCGCTATACTAAAATGACTTATTCCTCTTCGAGTTCAAGGATGGCGAAATATTAGTACTTAGTGAGGAGGCTGGAAAGTCTACTTTTCAATTTATATTACGTTTTATCATTTAGCCATTCGTTTGAGAGTCATAAAAACATTTTAATTATTTAATTTATTTTTTTGCTTGAAACTTTGAGCAGTTCAGCTGTCATTTCCGAAGTGCGTATATTAAAACAGCAGTAGTTATTCATAAATAGTAGTTAAGAACCTTTATTTTTGTGTGGATGTGTTTAGCATGAACCTACACAACTAAAAGGCTAAAATGCTAAAACAGAGTGAATATTTAAAATACTAAATGAAATAAAGCAATATACTTCTAGTTTTATTAACTTTTCGTGATTGCAATTGCAGACACCATGCATGGAGCACCCCTGTCAAAATGGAGCAACGTGTTTACCTCTTTACGAACGAGATGAGTACACTTGCGTTTGTGTCCCTGAATACACTGGAAAATACTGTGAGAACTATCGTGAGTCACCTTATATGAACACTGTCTATAGCAAAAGAAAATAAAAATAAAAATGTATACACCTTTAATTTTATAGGAAATTAACGCTTTATGAATTTAACACTAATTCAAAAAATCGCGTTTATTTTTAGTCGAGCGTAAATTTCCGGGACCTTAATTTTCATTATTTTGGCCCCAAATTCTCGGTATACTCTCGACATTCTTGACACTTGAGAAAGAGGAGTATTTTATTAGGGAGAATATTCGCCAGAAGTATCAGTCGGAAAGTGTGAAAGACCCTCCAGGAGGCCAGTTTTCAATTCTTCACCGAAACCTTACGTTTAGGATAAGTGAAAGGAACGATGTTTGCATTTCGGTTTACATGTCTAAATTTGCTTTGGTTGTCTCAACACTCTTTTGTGTTCGTCGCATTAATTTTCTTCATTTTCAAAATGTTACCCTCTCTTTAAAGCAAAAATTAACGATATAAAAGAAACTTGACGTATCGATGGCTTCATGTCACCATTATCAAAAGATAAGAAATTATCATGATTCGTGGTAATATTTATATTTACTTTATTCAGTGTAATTTGTCCCTTTTTACGCTTAAATTTACATGCACTTTTCGCACTTTCTTTTTCTAAAACTATTACCACGAATCATGATAATTTCTTATCTTTTGATAATGATGACATGAAGCCATCGAACGTCAAGTTTCTTTTGTATCTTTAATTCTTGTTTTAAAATGTAGCTGAATCGATCCTCGTTTAAGGCTCTCTTTTGCGTTAATTTCCTATAATTGAAAGTATTTTATTCTTCAAGTTGCGTAAATTTATGAGTCGCGTTAATTTTAAATACCGTTATTAACACAAGCGTTCATTTCCAAAAATGAGGCAGATATAAACTACTACCAAGTAGCTTTTTTTGAGGGTCTTAGCAATGTTTGATTTTTCATCTTACGGTAGTTCTAACAATTGCACAGTTTGGTAACAAAGATATACAAAATGGCCTGAAACTAACTTTTTGTTTTATTCTACATTTTTATGTCAGAACAATTGCAGACCATCTCAGTTTGTGAAAATGAGGTAAAGGAGATACGTTGCACGAGTGGAGAAAAAATACGAGTTATGTTCGCTAATTTTGGAAGGTTAAATAACCACACATGTCCCCACGACATGTACGATTATCAAAGCAAGACTGATTGCCGTGCCCAGACCTCTCTCGAAAGAGTGCAGGACAAATGTCAGGATAACACCCACTGTAAACTGAAATCTACAACAACATTCTTCAATGTGGATCCCTGCTTTGGAATTTTTAAATATTTGCTGGTGAAATACAAGTGTGACTGATTCAAAAATAAATTAAGTGAATCAGTGTTAACTATCTCCTTTTAGCAAAATCCAGCTAGTGGTCTATTAAAAATGCTGCGTTCTGATTGGTTGAGCTACTACTAGGCTATATGTTATAGCCCACTAGAAGCGAAAAGCGCCGGCTTTCTGGCAGCAAAAAAGGATCAAAGTCGACCTTTAACTAGCTAAAGTTGTTTCGTCTCGATATTTTTGACCAACTAGTTGGATTTTACTAAAACAATAATTCCTCTCGCCCTCGTGGCCTCTGAGTCAATAGCCCATTCGGCCTTCGGCCTCATGGGCTATTGACTCATAGCCCGTTTTATATTCGGGCTCGAGGAATAATTGCTAATTAGCCCGAAGGGATAGAATCGGTCTTTACAGACATTGAGTTCCGATCAAGAAATACCAATCGAGCAGTGGTTTCTCCTGGCTGGACCGGCTACGCTACGATGGGAGTCAAAAGGGAGAGAAACTACTACGAGAGACCGTTTGCTTTTCCATCGAGCAGGCGCGTCCACTGACGCCTCCTATTTCGTAGGAAACATTCCGTGGCGGTAACGAGAACGTCAAAGAAAAAATTTTGATAGGCAAAACAAAAACTTTGCACGTGCATCACAATCACCCCTTTTTGTATCTTTCTTTTTTGTTTTTCCACGACTTCGATGTGGGAATGCCTAATTTTGCGTTTTATAGAGAATGTAAACATGCAACGAAATTTCTCTTCCTTAACTTAGAAATGGTCCCCAGGAATTCAACTCCAGTTATAGGTTCACCTAAATATGTCGAAGTAAGTGGGTAAAGAGGGCAAATTAACAGCAGGCTCGCGTTAACGCAGCAGTTATAAGCGTTTGCGAGAGCCTTAACTTGTTTTCAAACAGGTTTTACCAGTACAAAGTTGATTTATTCGTCCATGGCGCTGTACGGCGGCTCGATCATGAAGCAAACGGTCACTCACGGTGGTTTCTCTCCCTTCGTAGCGTAGAATAACTACGTAGAATAACCACTACTCGCAGAATAGCTTTTGAGGCACCCTTCGCAAAAAAGTTGAATAATTTCGAAACCATTTTAAAAGCCAAGAGACGACCACAAATTTATATTGTTAAAATTTCGCATAATTTTAAATACGTACCTCGACATTGCGTTGCGGATAGATTCAATGACTCCGTCCTCGAACAATTTGGAAATTCCTTCCAACCAACCATAATTATTTTGGCTGTTTTGTTCTGAGTTTTGAACAAAACACGCTGTTCAAGAGCAAAGGTAACAATACACCGGGTTAAGCTGTGAAAAAAAAAACACTCTCGCCACGTGATCTACTAATTCTCACGCTTCACGCCTTAATTTTTAACTCATTACAAAACAACATGATAAAGCAAAAACCAGCTCCCACTTGTACCAAACTTGTACCACGACATGCTTGTAGTTCTTCGGTTGCGGACAAAGAACACAAAATATAACTGGCGGAGTTACTATGAATGACATCCTCGTCTGTGCCTTTGGCATTTCACACATTTTACTTTTTTTTTTTCGTTTTAACGTAAGCTAGCGTAGAAAGCGTGTTAGTAAATATCGATAAATAACTGAGCGACTTAAACTTACTAACCCGTCTTGAGTGGCCTCTTAAAATAATTAAAGAGATCAGCCGTCTCTTGAAGAAAACAGAAACTTGTGTATCTTCCTATTCCTACTCTTTTATTTTACACAGTCTCCTGCATAAAAAGGTACCCCTTAGTAGGCTGGCAGTATAGCACATAGTAGCTAAGGTAGACTAAAGTAATGCCTCCGCCCCCCACCCAGGAGCTGAGCGCAGATAGAGGTGGAGTGACAAACGGCATGACTGATACATAAGAAGTACGTGAGGTGTTCAAGTCGTTCAGTTTGAAAGAACACGATCGAGTGCATCACATATTGATAATAAAGTAAAAAATAAAGTAGAATTAACTACATGTTTTGAGAAGCTATAGCACTATAGAGTGTAGCTCATGACTAGATAAGAAAGACAGCATAAAAAACAGCAAATAATAATCAAAAATTTCTAACGTGGCTTTTCCATGCAAATATGAAGCAAATGCCAATCAATGATAATTATAATGATGATGATAGTAATAATAATAACAATAATAATAATAATAATAATAATAGTGTTTATTTACTACCCCTATAACTGAAAAATGTGAAAAGGAGATAAAAGAAGTTATCCCTTTCTAGTTTATCTCTTAAACTGCAATTTTAAAGGGATGCAAGATTGTAGGTAAGGAGCCACTGAGAGCGCAGGCGTGTATGCAAGAGGAACCGTGACACATGTACGTTCACAAAAGCAGCATTAACTGTTAAGAACGTTTAGGTATGCGCTAAGCTGGTTTGACGTACGGCACGGCTTTTAAGTCTTTTAAATTAGGCAAGAACTGCACGTATCTATATCCAGGAATCAGCAGTTTTCTAGCGTCATTTCCTACTGATATCCATTGATAAATGTGACTCTGCGAAAAGCGTCCTTCATTTGAACAGTCTGTTTAACCGGTTCCGGGCGGTAATATGGAATTTTTCAACATATTCGTGGCCTTCTTAATGGTATTCAGTGGCTGTGTTTGCCTCAGAGCACAGAGTGACACGGTAACTTTGTTATCATATCGTTGTTAATAACTTTAATAGTTTCTAAATAGGTAGCTTTCTATTTAATATGTGAGAACTAATTCCTTGGATAAAGTATTTCACAGAAAACCTGACAATGAATCTGTCAGACTTTTTATGACGTGCATGAAAACGTTTATTTGTTCAGTATTGTTCATGAAAACGGCGGTTTTTTTATTGTAGCGTTGGTATCTAAGTTAAACTTTTGTTGGATAAGAATCGATGGGTCGTAGAGGGTAGGATGAGGGGTAAGAAAGACGGTAGGCCCATGCAGTTAATCTAAGCTTTGCACTTTGTATTCCCTACTTGCACAGCAGTTTCCCTTCATCAGTCGAGTGCGCGGAAATCTTATCGGCTAGAGAAAGTTAGGGATTTGGGTTAAAAAGCGGAAGAAACAAGAGCGGAAAAATATTAACATCAGTAACTGTATCAACTCGGGGAAGAGTCCTGGGGGGACACCCAAGGGAAGTTTCCGTAGAGGTGTGCCGCCGAGGCCTTTAAACCCCGACCCCGTTTAAGATAAAAATCGCTCATTTCGCTAAGCTGTTTAAGACAAGAGACCCTACTTTCTGACCCTGATTTGTTTGGTTTTGCATACAGAATTGAGTAATTTTTCACACTAAAATCGTGGAAATAGATGTTTAGGAAAAAAATTATTGGTACTGCAAATGTAGACCGCTCATCGCAAGTCTTCACACTCTTTGAAAGGCTTTGAGTCCAAAAAGACACCCTGTTCAAGACGCTTAATAGTGAAATTGTATACCCTGTTTAAGACTCAAGACCTTGAAAAGCATACCCTGTTCAGCAGCACATACCCGTATAGCCCAAACAAGGGAGTGCCAAACCCGGGGGAAGAGTAAACCGAAAATCTAATTCCGCAAGTGACTGCTTGGGATCAAAGAACAAGGTGAAATTGTGTAGTTCCAAATAATATCCATACCCTCCCCACGGAGGGCAACGGAATTCCAAGTGGAAGAGGGGTCCAAAAGGAGGCAGCTCTGAGCGGGTGGGGGGAGGGGGGCTAACTTTTTGAGATTTTTTTTTTCCGGGGGTAAGATTTATTGGGGAGTTATTGCTCTTCGTCAGTGGCTCACTGTTAATTATTAGTTAAAAAGGAACTCTACAGAGCAAAATTGAGTTTATTAGACCATCTATTAACATGAATAATTTTTTTTTTCACTTTATCTCCGAAACAATTACATTTTGCAAGATGGTATAGTGAAACAGCTTTTTGGATGGAAATATTCTTTCCAGGGGATTCCCAACCAAGATGGAAAATCACAGAAATTCCAGGGTGTAAGGGGGTATGACAAGCACCACCTGGAAAGGAAATTTGAAGAGGGTAGGGGGTCTAAAGCAAAAGTGCCCTCCGTTGGCGGGGGGAGGAGTATGGATATTTTCTGGAACTACACATTTAGTATTGATGTAGGCGCATGATCAAAACCTGTAAAATTATCCAACCGAAATGGAATATCTCTTGAATTTGGAACTATAGCATGTTTGCATGTTTTCCATCTGAAAAGCAATGGTTATAATAATATTATAAGTTATTCTAACTAAAAATTTTATATGTTGACGAAGCTCTACCAATCCTCTGAGCCCCAAGATTCACATACAAATTCTCCAGGCTGATCTCCATACATTTCTTTTAAGAATAGTTGAGAGAATCAACGCATTCTCCCTTTGGTAATCAATTTAGTAATTCTCATAAACTTTACTCTTGATGATCTGCTGATGTTGTTAGGAGAAAATTGATGTTGGTCACCCTCGGGACCTAACAAGTTAATGGTCATACTCTCTGTAAGGACATTTCTCTTGGATGGTTCCAAGGATACTAGCCTTTATACAATTGTAACCCGTTTGATTCGGACACCTCTGTAATGCTGAAAGACACTGAGCTATACTGGAGTCTGTCCTTTTGGTGTCTGTATTGAGGAGGTTTCATTTAACTCATATGATAAGATTTGCATTCTGATCATTAATTTGTATTTTTCAGAAAAGCTGTGCTCCCATTAACATCAATGTTTATGGTAACGGGGGGACTAAGGTGAGCTTTTTCAACAAGAGGATTTATTTTTTAAAAAAAGAGTTGGTATAAGTGAGTAAGATGTTTTTTAAATCATCTTTGAATGTATTATGTTTGGGAGAAGATTACTGATCAAGGGCAGCTGAGAACACTGTTTCCACCCGGTAGCGAGAATTATTAAGGCTTCAGTTTGTGATATCCACTTCAGCCTTCTGCTTGGGGAGATTTAATGCAACTTCAGCCTTGACAATTCCTGTTGTCATGTTCAACCTTATCCAATAATTGTAAAATAAATTATAAATAGAATGAATTATGAAAGGGATGATAAGATGGTGGCCATTTTTCGTGATCTTGCAGATCCTTAGTAGTGCCTAGTCCCAAAACTATTTATTAGTGGTGTAACGATTAATCGAATTCTCGATTAATCGCGATTATGACTGTTCGGTTCGATTCACGATTCTTTGCTTCGACGTTTCGTTTTTGGTTCGATTTTTGCACACACGAAAAAAAGACCGATACACATACCTGCCTCATACTGCTTGACTGTTCGAGGATTTGTGCTAGTTTGGCATTTTTTAAGTCCCAAACAGTACTTTTCGTCTCTGTTTCTTCTTTTTTCCTTTATCTTACTTGCAAAAAGTTTTTCCAAAACGTTTTCCAACATCTTCACCAGCTCATTTTGCAAAACAGCGAGTCTCTCGAAGTGATGACACACAATTCCAACTGCTGTGAAGTTTTCTGGCAGTTTAGGCATTCTTAAGTTGTCAAGAACCCTTTTTGTCTCCGTTTTTCCATCTTTCTTCTCTGTAAATGGCTCCTGCTAAACTTTTTTCGAGGCCTTCCCGAGACGTCATCTATGTCATCTATTCCAATAAACAAATAGATTCCATGTTGGCGTGCGTCTATTCAGTCTGTTCAGTAATAGATCAGTGATGACGTCAAAATGTGGTAAAAACAAAGAAGTGGCACACGAGCCGCAGGCGAGTGTGTCACTGATGTTTTGACCTCCTTTTTGACGTCTTTTGTGATGCTGAACAGACCCACGGCAACATGGAATCTATTTGTTTTATACAATGATCGGAAAAGAAAAAAGACCGACACACATACCTGCCTCGTACCGCTTGACTGTTCGAGGATCGGTGCTAGTTTAGGCAATTTTTCCCAAACGCTGCTTTTCGTCTGTGCTTCTTCTTTTTTCGTCATCTTAATTACATACAGTTTCCTCGAAGAGTTTTTCAAAGTCTTCTCTTGCTCAACACATGGCGAAAACATTTTGCAAAACAGAGAGTCCCTCGTGGCGACGACACACGATGCACGATGGCAACTGTTGCGAAATTTTCATTAACTATTTATTCTGAAGAAAAGTGAAGAAGCCTTTTAATTCCATCTCAATTTTCATAAATTTTACAAACTAGAAAATTAAGCTTTTTGTTGACGCTTTAAATAATCCGAAATAATATCACAAACACTTTTCAAAACCGCCGTTATTTAACGGGTAACTATTTCCATACATTACCTAAACGCTGCTTTTCGTCTCGTGATTTTTCTTCTTTTTCGTCATATCCATTTCAGACGCGTTTTCTAGAAGAGTTTTTAAAAATTCTGGATCACGGCCTTTATCTTGGCGAAAAATTTTGCTGAAAAGAAGATTTATTTGATGGTCGAACGAAATATCTTTTTAAAAAAACGAGGGCTATTTCAATTTACGAACTTTCTAGGACGGGTTTTGGCCCATTTCTAGATGTAGTGAAGATCAGTTTTAGGGCCATCTAGAACGGGGTATTTTGGCCCATTTCTAGAATATCAATTTTGCTTTTTTTTTTTTTAGAACGGGTGACAATTTGGAGTCTTAATCCGAAATACCCACCCAAACGAAACACTTTTCAAAACCGCGCGCCATGTTGAACAAAACCAAGAACACAAATTTCCCGTGACGTCATCCATGTGTCTTGTACTCTGATAGATCATGGGCAACGACCAATCACAGCGCGTAGCACTCACATCATGGTATAAGTCTCCCTCTTGTACCCTGGTGAGGGGATAAACTCAATTTGACAAGGGAACGTAACAAAGCAGGCAAAATAAAATTTGATTGACTATGCGCTTTGATGCCTGTCTTGTTTTTATAAGCCCGATTCCCAGAAGCCATCTGCACACATCGAAGGACCCACTGCGAAGCTTTTCAAATACGATCCTTCTAGTGGTGAGTTATGTTGCACTTAAGACTTGAATGAGTCAGTATTATATAAGTCCTACAAATAATTAACGACTATATTTATTAGATGTGGTTTTTGTGAAATCCAGAATGATCAAGGTCTCGTTGACTGTGATCACGGATAAAGCAAAAACTGAAGCTGCTTGCGTTGAAGAAAATAATGACCAACACACTGACGTTGCGTGCGCAACGTTCAGATATTTGTCAGTTGTCTGCTAGCACTCCAGATAATAGCAGATTTACCTGGACGCGAGTCAGTAAAGTGTGTCAGCAATATAAGTCTTATCGGGATGTTTCAGATTTACGGTTGTCAAAGAGATTCTCTACATTTTCTTCAAAACATGACAGATTTAATGTTTACCCATAATTTGGGCGAGAGATGTGTCTTCCTTGAGTGGTAGTTTGAGTTAATGGTTAGTTATAGCTGATAGCAATGAATTCCACTCTTACAACATAAGAAATTCCCAGGCCTACCGTCTACCGTATTGTCGTACAAACACTAAGAAAAGTCTCGGCCTTTTTTCAAGGGCGTAAGTTTTATAATTCACTTGACAACGAGGTCATCAACTCTCAATCCTTTTCCTCTTTTAAGAAAAAACTGAAGATTAAATGTTTTGAGTAAATATGAAAACAGTTCATAAAACTTTCCATCTTCGACTTTTCGCCATCTTTTCTATTGATGTTAAACAGCTCTAACCCGTAGTTCCAGGAGGCCTAACCTTTCATAAGCTCCAATAGTTTCTGTTAGGTCTCCTCGCCACTTCCTTTCTTTCTCTCTTTCCTTTATTTTTTGCAATTATTGTGTGGCAAATAAAATAATTAAAATAAATAAATAATAGCACATAAAAGCACCAAAAAAGACGTCGTAACTAGCCTATGGACTGGCTCTTATTGTATTTTTCCTTATAATCAACAGATATAACAACCTGGACATCTACAGCGCCAAATGCACACGTGACAGGAGGCATGACCTACAACAACGGCAGACTAACTATCCCCTCCAATGGCTTCTACTATGTGTATGCCCAGGTGTACTTTCATGGCGTTGCAAACAAGTACAAACGAATTTTTGTCTTTCGAAATGGTAACCCCATATTATTAGCTCAGCCTGCACGGTTTAATAGTGTGACCGGAACAGGATATACCGGGGGTGTGTTCAGGCTTAACGCTGGTGACGTCATTTCCGTTAGAGTGAAGGACGCACAAACTGGGATTCACATGGATCCTGCTCACAGCTTTTTTGGAGCTTACATGATTTAAGAACGCGTGTGAGTTTACCAATAAAGAAACGAGTGATTAAAAAAAACTGTGTCTACAAGGGAGGTTCTCACATGAATTAGAATACTATATAATATCTAAATAAAAGTAACGAATTTTTCTTCTTTGGGAACCATTTTGAATTTTGCAGTCCGCTGGCGAAACCTGAAACCAAGAAATACTAAAGGACGAGTCTTTGAAAGTCGGAAAACTTTTGGAAGATCCAATGGCTTGCCGATGAATCTAAATTGACAAGCTTGCCATATGAGATACGAGAAGCCTCCGAAGGTTGCTAGGTTCCAGATCTCGCAACAGATGAACGCAAAATTCAAAACGGCCCCCAAAGAAAACAAAGTCCGCGCAAACTCAGGCAACAATAAATTACGTAATTCTTATTTAAGCATCACATAATCTAATCGGATGTGATATTACTGTGTGTCTATCATATATCAGATAAACAAAAATTAATTTTCATGAACAGCAGTGTCAGCTGAAGTGAATGAGTAAGCGTTTTGGTTGAGAAACGCAAAACCGGGATCAAGATGGATCCATCACCGAGGATGAGCCATCCATCCGTCCCATGTTTCTTTAGATTTTGCATTAGCTGATCCTTAACAACGTAACCACGTTTGCAACCAGACAAAGAAAGCAAGACTTTACAAATTTTCGTTATTAAAAAAACAAACAACTCAATACGTAAATCAGTGGTCAGTAAAATGTGCCGTCGTTCGAAAGAGAGTCTATATACTATACTAATATATACATTAAATCGGGGCTAAAAGCGAAGCTCTCGTTAATATATACTTATAATTTACTCCAACAAAACATAAAATTGAGCAATGCTAAACGGCGATGGCAACGAGAACGGAAAAAAAAATCAATCGTCTAAGTAGCAACATAAAAACAACTTTGCATCACTTTTTTTTCACTGCCGCTCATTTTCAACTTGCTGGCTTCTCCTTGCTGACCGCTAGCGTTTCTCCTTTTCTCACCGCCGATATAAAATTTTCATGTTGTTTTTCCAACAAAATTCGTTACCTCTGTTTTTTTATCTCTCGCTCTAGCTCTTTATCTGTTCAGCCACGTCAAGTGTAGAGATTAAACTGCTTAGTCGAAAAAGGATTGGACTTTGTTGTTGTTTTTCCTCTCTATAAGGCCGGGTGGCCACGCGATTTCGCGCCAAAAACCTCGAGTTCCATTTGCGTTGCCATACCTGTTGATTGAGTCATTTTATATTGGTATGCTGTTGTGCGGACGGACGCGAGAGCGGGCGGACTTGTGGTCACGTGACTACCAAAACGTCTTGGATCCATAGAAAACCATGGTGCGCAGCTAGCAATAGGGACTTTAAGGTCCAACGACGCGACGGCAACAAGAACGTCTATTAAAAAGTGATTTTGCGTCCTTTCAGTCTTTATAGCGATTATTCCTACCCACTTCCTTTGTCAATTGTAGGCGAACCCTCCTGAGCTGAATTTCAAGAGACCATATTTAAGCTCAGAAACAGAAATAAAATTTCGTTGTTGCTTGTTTACGTTCTCCATAAAACGCGAAATTAAGCATTTTCACGTCGTAGTCGTGCAAAAACGGGAAAAAAATGTACACAGAAGTGTGATGCACGTGCAAAGTTGTTGTTTTGCTTATTAAACCTATTGGTTTTTTTTTGACGTTCTCGTTGCCGTCCGCGTCGTTGGATCTTAAAGTTCCTATTAACCAAAGGTTACGAAGTGCACGCGACAAGGATCAAATGTCAAAACGCTCTTGCTCCAACGCTGTACTTTGCGTCGTTTCGCGGGATAGATGGTCAAAACAAGCGTGATTAGATGACGAGAAATAGAAGGTCCAAATGCGCATGATCAGATTGCGTTCTGTGCGTTCTTTTTAAGCGTTCTATTCAATATTCTTAGTCGAGGACCAAACGAAGCTGGTTAAAACCTCGCCGTGCATGCGTAATAGACCTGGAGATTATAATTGCAGGCTCCTCTTGTCACCCCCAGCTAACTGTTCCCCGAAAAATGGAGATGCGACTGTCACAGTTGTTATCGCAATTTAACACATTGGTAGGTAAAGTTTTGAAAGACAAAGCTTGTCGCCCTTGCCAACCCTTAGTGGTGGTGCAACGTCTTGTGTGACTGTGTAGGCCAATGCGCGAGTGGCAGTCCCTACTGCACACGGCGTCGATGAAGATGAAGGAGGGCAGAGTAGAGCTGTTTTTGCGGTGATCGCGGTTCTCTTCAGCTTTCTAGTCCACACCGTCAGTGGACGAACCAAAGGCGTAGGAAAAGAGGAGGGAGAAGGGGATTCCGAAGAATGTCGGGGCTAAATTGAACAGCCCTGTTTCACGCCGCTCTTGATAGGGAAAGGGTCTGGGGTAAACCCATCACAGGACACGGTGTCCCTCATACTTTCGTGGTAAGAGACAAGGTGCTTTGGGTGACATTCGATCTTCCTTAAGAGCTGAAACAGACCCTTTCTGCCCATGAGGTCAAACGTCTTCGCCAGGTCAATAAAGGCTAGATAGAGAGCGGCTAGCCCTGTTCTCGCGACTTTTCCTGTAGCTGGTGCACAGTGAAAATCATGTCTGTGGTGGATCTCTCCTCCAGCAAACCGCATTGGGACTCAAAGTACGCGTGGTACTTGCAGTCTGGTGAGGAGCGGGCGAGCGAAGACTTCGCCGACATGCTCATGAGAGAGATGCCACAAGACTAGCTGTTGCAGTGTGAGCGGATGAGAGTTGTTGTAGTAGATCGTGATGATAGTGGCGTCACGCATGTCTTGTGGGACGGCGCCGCCCTTCCATCAGAGAGAGCAGCTCGTGGAGAGGCTCAAGGAGGGCAGACTTGCTGAACTTACATGACTTTGGGTGGGATGCCATAACTGGGAGGAGCTTTCCCGCTTGAGAAAGCGTCTATCGTCTCGCCAAGCTCTTCAATGATGGGCTCAGCGTCAAGCTCGTCCATGACTGGGAGAGTATCAACTGGGTATCAACTGTCTCACGCAGAGAGAGTTCAGAGTAGTGATCCACCCATCTGTTCATTTATCCCTTGGGGTCTGTTCATCGGTTTTGAGGGGGCAGTTTTTTGTTTTCTGAAGGACCTAAAGCCGTGATGCCTTCTTACATGTCTCTGATGTTGCCGAAGTCTGTGGCTAGCTGTATTTTTTCAAGCCAGGAGTCGTTGGTCCAATGTCTGGCAGTGCTTTGAGTTGCACTGCGTGTAGCGCGGAGTGCTGTCAGTTTCCTCAGGTTTTGGCAGCCTTGTGAGGCATTAAGGTTAATCATAGGTGAGGTTGAAAGGAAATTGGCCCGACTTTTTCAAGTTTAAATCTATTTCCATCCTTACCATCCGTTGCAACAGACGACAGAAAACAGTTTCAATGCTTAAATAGTCTTAAAAAACGAAATTGAAATTCGAGATAAGGGTACGGTCTTCTAGGGTCGGATAAATATCGTGGGAGAAGTTAAAAAAATAGACAGAGGAAAGACACAAGACAAATGCTCCATGTTGAAGAGTATATTTCTTAAGATAACCCTACATTAACTAAAAAGCGCCAAAGGACTGTTACATCAAGAAATTGCCTCGCATTATATTTACTGTGGAAATTGGTCATTCTAAGGAAGGATATTTACAAAGTGAAAGACAAGACAGACGAGGCGAGAGACAATGACTCACTTAATTTGGACAAATAAAAGCAATCATTCAACTTGTGACAAACAACGTAGTACGTGGCGCAAGACTGAGGCAGGCGTTGCGTGACTTGAGGATAAAATGCCAACCCACAATCCTTTGCAAATACTATTTGAAAACGGAATCATGCGATGTATTTCGGTATAACAGTCAATCAAGTGAATAAAACAGTGCAGTAAAAACCTTGGACAGCGATGCACTGTGGGATGACATTTCATTTTCACCTCGTTCCCAAGACCTCACAACACTAGCTTCCTGCCGCTGACGTAAGCAGAGATGACGTTCTTAAAGACGAATGATTGACAGCATATCAAAACACAATAGAAACAAAGAAAAAAGGTGAAAGCTTCGTCCTTCCAATGTACCCAACATTCAGTTTTTAAATTAGGTGAACGACTATTGTCAGGAGGAATGGTGAAATTCGAATATAACAAAACATGTCACAGTAAAGCTAACTTAAATTCCTGAGCATTAAGTACAACAGGAATTGAGCAAAACTGATACCCCCTTTATATCAACCCCTAAAGAAATTAATTTTAATTCTGTTTAATCTTACAGAAACAAATCGAAACCGCTGTTGCGCAAGTTGTCAATTTCCCTGGCGGGAAGACAGGGAAGATGGGAAAGGGGGCAGGGCGATCTTTCTTAGCCTGGACAAAATTACGGCTGTTGGAACGCTGTTTTGAAGAGAATATCGATATTATCGTTGCAAATCCGATTATGATCACAGTTACCTTGGGGTCAACCAGCTTTCGACTGCACGATAAAACCTTGCAGAAGCTTAAGCTGTTTATTTCCAATCGTTTTCTGGTAATTTGCAGCTCTTCTTGCTTTTACAACTGAAGTTCAAAGTTATTAACAGTTCCCGCCCCCACCCCCTGTTTACAAAAGCAAGATAAACTATCTTTTTACATTATTTGTCCAAATTTGCTTGGGTGTCTTTTCTTTTATTCTTTTTTTACAAAGTGCACAATTTAATCACGTACAGGATAACAAATTGACTAACCAACTAGAGTGAAGTTGAAAAATCATCAAGACAGCCGGAATGAATTCGGGAAAAATGATCAAGAACCACACTATTCCCCTTTTAATAGCGAGTGGTGTCCTGCGTAATACTAAGTAACCCAGACTGCGAGCAGTCTCTTATTTTTCTTTTGAGTGACAGAAGGTCGAAAGCACGCGTGACTCTGAAGAAAGAAGGACGGTCTTTAAGTAACAGCATTGAAATATTATTCTAGACAGAACGCAAAATTCCCCAGTTAAAATAAACGAAACCTCGCCCAGTTAGACTGCGACAAATTTCTGAAAAAGGGCACACTTCTCAAGGATTAAAGCTTTCTTCTAAAATAAGATTCACGTTAACGAGGCACTTGAGGCTATAGAATTTCATTGTTTTGTTACTGAAATACAGGTCAGTAAATTTGTTTTCATTTGCTTGAGCACATGTTCGATGTCTGAACTTCCAAGAACGCAAACTTCCACTCCGTGGGACGACAGTGACACAATAGAACAAGGTTTTGGAGTAGTTAAAAACGTAAGTAAAATAAAGATGTTTCAGAGTTCGGAAGCAAGAAAAGGTGATGGCGTCTTTAGGAAACACTGAAATGTTCACTTGCCCCTGATAGGCTAGTCTCCCATGCCACGAAGCCGTTTTTGCCTTGTAACGCAACGCTCCTCTTCAAAGTTCGAATGCGTGGGGAGGAGCGTTGCGTGACGACACAAACACGGCTGCGTGGGAGACTATTGATAGGCAGGTCACAATCAATCGTTCTCTTGTAAAGCAAAAATCTCAAATATTCATTTTCATGCAGCTGAAGTGAGACTGGGGATAACTTTGTGATAAGATTGACTTCTAAGGAATTTGCGCAAGAACAAATACAGACCAGGCTGTTCCAGGCTTCAAGATAGAAATGTGCAGAAATCGTGAAAATTGATGCGAAAAACACGCCGTTGCTGGGGAAGGAGAGGGAGGCCTATTTCCTTCTTTTTTCCACCACCGTCCTCTTTCCCAGAGTACGCGCGTTCTCCTTCTTATTTTCCTTGACCTTGTTTTCGCGACGTCCCCAATATCTGAGAGCCTGGCACAGGCTAATACAGACCCGCCCAAAACAGCAGCATAATGGGTGAGGAGCGGACAAACTATACACCCTGGCCAACTATAAGAGAACTGGAGGTGTCTCGGGAGTAGCTTACTTTTCTCTGCTGCTCTCTGTTAAAATTAAATAATTCCTATGGATATTTACATTAACTTGTACAGATGTCGTTTTCACTGGTAAATTTTTCCAGACTCGTAGAAACAACTTCATTTTATGTGGCACGTACCGCATAGCAAATAAAAGCCATCACTTGCCTGTTCAGTCAACATCCAGGCGTCATTTTGGCAAATGTTCAGTACAAAGAAAACTGGATTCTCTGTTCAAAGCATGTCCGAAAACAAGAAAACCTGTCCTGTGCTTGGTTCCTCCAAAGCGTCTTCATGCCAGCAAAATCTGTGATGAACTGAGGGAAAGGGTACAATAACTGCTTCGGCTTGTCTTCCCTCGCCAATTCTCGTCTTGGCGTTCAGAAAACAGCCAATCTATCTCCATCACAGCTTTAACTCGTTGGCAACTCTAGAAGCGATGTTCTTGAAATTGATAGATGTACCGGCGATGCGCTTGAAGCGAACCCCATTTAGGGACAATCGCGGAAGCTTACATACTTCCATCTCCCACTGCACGTGATTAGCGTCAGCAGGGTTGCCATGGCAACAGAACAACAAGAAATTCTCACGCTGTTCATAATCACAGTTATTACTTTCCAAAACCTTCTTGATTTCTTCCATCATCTCCTGCGGGTCCATCGCGCTTGTCGTCTTCATGCTCCACGTGAAGCGTAGGGAACGTGGCTTGTCGCCCATTGTCGTGTCATTCATAGATCTAAAATACAAGATAACAGTTGGCTTTTAGTTGAATTATAGAGCGACAGACGGTTTACATAAATTACTTGGTATCTTGAGCAACAAACATCGTTAAGTCCTGCTTACTACCATCCTGCAAGCAAACTCTCCGTTTGAAGGGCACGCGAGACTAGTTTGAGAGGTCACGCAAGAGGTCACGCGAGAGCAGCACGCGAAAGGAGAAGCCAGTGCGAGGGGCGGGGAACGAAAGGGCGCCGCTCCTCGCGGCTCGTTTCGCTCGCTATATATAATGGAGAGCTTGCTCCCAGTCTTGCCTTCTACAGCCAGGGTTCGTACAGATTTCGGGATGCAAAATTTAAGACATTTCCTGGGCTTTTCCCAGACTCAAGGTTATCAAATAAGCGATCAATAGAAAGCTCGACAAAGGCGGGAACCAAGCTTTCCCCAGGATGCAATGCAATTGTACAGTAATCACTGTACAATGCGGACATAAAAAGTTCTAAACCACTGAATTTCCTTTTTCTGTTTTTTTTTTTTTTTTTGGCTTTTACACACAACATCAAGTAAGATCCGACTACTGCAAAAAAAAATTACTTTTACCATTTTAAAAAACCATACCTAAAGCAAAAATCCAGGCTTTTAATCAGGCCTTTTCAAGGTGTGGCAAACTTGTTTGCACACTTCAAGACTTTTCTAAGAATGTAAGACCCTGTACGAACCCCGTACAACCATAACTGAGACTACAAACTGATTCAAAATATGAACAGCTTAAGACATCTCTTTTACTAGCATTAGATTGCAGTATTTTAGCTATTTTCTTTAAAACCCTAGATACCAAAATCTCGAAATCTTCCAAATAAAACCACAGGCAGGTAACGAAGATTACAACTAAGCATAACATATCACACTTTCGTATAAACCGAGACTCGAAAGACCTTTTTCAGTTAACTGTTCTGCTGTTCTCCAACCTACAATTATGCCAATCGATGACCCCTTCCTCCTTTTCCACTTCGCTTGACTCTTGTGTGTGTGCGCGCGCGTTTTTTTCTTTTTCTTGTAAAGTGAAATTAACGCAGTGGAACTGGAGCTAATCAACTTCTGTAGTCTTAAGATGTTACCATTCTACGCGAACTGAACTGAACAAAGCGCATGCACCTTTGAACCAATCCACAGCTAGGTTCAATTAACAACAATTTCGAAACATAAAAAAACAACTCAGACTGCCAACAAGGACTAACAACAATAAACAAATCGATAAAACTCTTAGAACTTTCGCACTGAAACAAAAGCCATTACTCTGTGATCAGATTTGACGGGATTAAATTTGCCCTAACACTGGCACTAGCAGCTGATTGGTCCAACTGCGCTTACGCCAAGGTAGTTAAGTTCCCAACACCTGCCTTTTTCTTTGTCTTTTTCTGAACGAGAGCCTAGCAAACGTTCCTCTCAAGGATTTACGCCTGGGGTTCGAACGGGCCTTTGGGTCCGGATACACCGACTTTACCCCTGGTGCGATATCATCTCGAGCCCTTCAATGCAACAACACAGCTTGTCAGACCCCTCGCCATGCAAGCCACAATGAAATACAATAATATTATACTGACAGGCCTTCATAAAATACATAATATTCTTTACAGTGCAGGTGAAGCCTCTTCTTCACGGGGAGTCAAGATCTAATGTCTTTTTTTTACGCACAAGTTACATGTTCCACTCAGCAACTTCTCAACAGCTCGGGACAACCAGCCAATTTTTTAACGACCGCACCAGTTCAACTTTATGGTGAAGGTGGTTTCACCCTAATGCTTCTTTTGGGTTCTAAATAATGCTTTCCACTTTGAGCTGCCCTGTCATGAAGGAAGCCTCAAAGCTTAATTTTCACTTGATACAAATGGAAAGCAGGCTTTAGAAATCTCAAAACAAAACGACTTAAAAATGATTTCGCTGGCCAAAGTTGCACTGGTTCATTCATTTGCAAATACATTAATCCTGCGAAAAGACCTCTTTTTGCTCTTGTGCATTTTGTTTTCCCAATGTAGATCTTTTTCGTTGCTTCTTTCAAATTTCGTCTTATTCACGTGTATATGCATGGATAATTTATGAAAAGACAAAGGACAAATTCTCTTGAGACCTTTATTGGGAAAATAAAACATACGAGGTAAAGAGGTCTGTTATCGAGAAGTTTCTGAATGGCATATGGAGCTCGAGCCATTTCAAAATGACACTGGACTTTGACTCCACCTCAATACGAGGCTAAACCTGCACTTAAAAGAATATTACGGTATTACTTAGAAATGCCTATTAAGCTGTAAAATTCGGCAGAGAGCCGTGACTTCCTTACACCGTGCTTAAACTGACTAAAACAAACAGATTTCAAGTGCTGGTGGGTTACTAAAAACAAACATGCTAAAATAGGCAAAATAGGAAAGTGCATTCACAACCAAAGCAAAGTATCCTTTTCTGGACAAAAAAAACCCTGTTGGCCAGAGATTCAAATGAAACCTCTTATCTGGTCCTTTCACATGGGGCGATCAGTTTTCAGAACTTTCTTTAAAATGCTAATTTCATTTAGTATTTTTTCTTGATTTCCGAATTTTGGAACTCTTGCAGTTGAAACAGTTTACTAGAAAACCTCCAAAATCACCTATTTAGCGCTCAGATAGCAATGCTAAATAACAAATGTATTGTGCTTCAAAATAACCAAGATTTCAAGGATTGTGAATGCACTTTTAACAAACCATCGTACAGTGGGGAACAAACAGAAATGAAACAAACTGGTGCAGAATTTCTGTCGTTAATAGCTGACAAAATCATATGTGGACTTATCAGAACTGGTCTCAAAATTTGGCCAACAAAACAAGATGAGTGACAGTGCTCGAGTCCGCATGTGCATTGCTGACGGTGCATGTGAATGAGAAACAACTACGAAGAACTAAATGCTTGAAAATAAATACGGGAATTATGCAATGATAGATGGACGGAGGAATGAATCACACACTCTAACATTGTGAGCATCAGGCAAGTTAGTCAATTAATCCCTTCCCTAATATCTATTAGCATGCTTTAGGAATGTGAGTGCAAATAACTTTTTTATATTGAAAGAAAAGACTATTACCGCACATCATTTCTGATTAGTAACTTGTTGGCTACCGGAGTCAATCCCTCTGACTTAGACTATGTCAGTATATTAGATATTAAATATGGCGAGTATATTAAGAAAAATATTTTTTTTCAATATTTTTCCCCAATTTGAACTATTTCACCCCCAGAGTTAGTAATATGTGACAAGAAACGTGGACGGTTTCAAATTCCGAGTTTACTTCCTCTAGACTGAAGACTTGAGAGTCTCTGATAGCTCCTTCGAACAGTGTTATTTTTCTTTTAAAACTTTTTAACATAAGACTTCAAAAAGGGAAAACCGGCCATTTTGATACAAAGTCGTTTTGACACCAACTCAAGAGGTGAAACCCGCCCAAAAATTTCGTTCACGAAAGTGTAGTTTGCGCTGAACAAGAAATATATTTTGGATAAATTTTCTTCATTCTTTGAGTCAAGGACATGAAACTATTTACAACTTAACTGAAAAAACTTGTATCTAAACGGCTTGTATCGAAACCACTATGTATCAAAACAACTTTGCATCGAAATGATTTTGTATCGAATTGACATGTATCGAAAAGACTTGTACCGAACGACTTGTATCGAAGACTTGTATCACAACGACTTTGTATCAAATCAACTGAGGTTTGGAGCAAAAGGCTCGATCGGCTATTAATCCAGAAAATATATGTTAATGAGTCACAACTCTGAGTGTAATTAAGTCAGTGTCTGCCTTAGTATATGTTAAACATGCTGTAATAATGATAACAATAGTTAATAAGGGATAAGGAATTGGCTGATTAAAAGTGATTAGGATAACAGTAAAAACCACAACAAGCAATGGTTATTTCACTTTGAGAAGACACAATGCAAAGAAGTCACGGTCACAAAATCATTGAGGTTAAACAAGTATTCACATGCATGTGCAATGCATTATGGTCTTTTTATCTGCGAGGGGTCTGAAGCATATACCTCCCAAGCTGCGCTGTTCCATCCAGGATCAATCGGACCCAGAGAAGGCAGGTACCACATGACGTCACAGCACAGAGGGATGCCGGGTTAACAAAATGACTTACCATGTCTTGGACAGGAGGGTGTTAGTCTTAAGGCCAGCAAGACAGTACGCGCGCTTGCAAATCACATTTGAAATACTCATTTTTGGTAACGTCATGCAGTAAGAGACCTTCTCCAAGTTTCAAGCTCAATGTTACTTTAAGTTTAGCCTTAAACTTGTGCTTTTAATCTTTTCCTATGTCAGTTAACACCTATTGTAAAGAAATTAACCTTTTTCATAATAATATTATAACCTTCACTTTTAGTATACCTCTGGCAATAAGAATGTATTCAAACCAATAGTTTATATTTAATTGTAAAGATACTCCTACGAGGTAAAAACACTCTCTGAGAGTTTATATAGTCAAAACCTCTTAGAACGATTCAACAGGGAACACATACCTATGCTTCTAACTAATTCAAAGTTTGGGAGAATAATATTTAAAGTATAACCCAGTAATGCTCGAAAATAAATTTAAACTCCTACAGAATTACATTTAAAGGTTTATAATGCAATGAAATGCTCAACAACCTGCATTATTAGTTGCAAAGTAATATTATGAACAAGGAACATTATTTGAAGGAAAAAAAAGTATATCCTGAATTATTGAGTTTATCCACTTCTCTTGTTCTTCTAACAAACACTTTTCTTTTAATTACCTATCCAGGGATAGAACAGCACAACTTTCTGTTTTAAAATGCGAAAAAAAAAAAGAATCAAACAGGAATTTTCTTACCCCTTGAATGTACCAGAACGGAAGCAAGGGGAAAGGGGCTTAAATATCAATGACCCGAGAATTTTGACTTTGATTTTCCATAAGAAAAAATACGAAGAAAAGAATGCAGTTCCATGTTGACATCATGTCCAATAAGCCTCTATGGTTATCAGGGACTAAGAAAAATCTATTTTGAGTAAACTGTATTCCTTTTGTGTTTTTGAGCAAACTGTTCAGATACAATTATGTCTTTGTTGTCAAGTCTCACTCAAAGTTGCATACTTTGCCAATGTGAGCATTTAACTGAAGTGTAATCAAAGCAGGACTTTTTGATACAGTGAAACTCTCATTTCCTTCAACACAGGCAATCAACAAAAACAGTAATACTCGAACATACTGATCCGTTATGAAAGGGTTTGGGGTGGGGAGTGGGGAATTTCCTTGCACATCTGAGGGTTACATGGAAGATTGTTGTGAACTGGGTAGGAACAATTTTTTTCAAAAATCCTAGATTCAATAACCCTTCGCCTGGTTGAGTCAAACGTTTGAATCCTAAGGTCGTTAAATTAAGACCTTTCTTGAGTCACACTCACTGAAAGAACTTGTTCCCAAGAAGGTAGACCCATCGAGACTGGCCTAACATGCATTTGGTTTCAAAAAAGGTCATAATACTAAACTATTCTTCAATCAAAATGATCATTTTTTAAGCCTCAGCAAAAATTATGATGAAAGCCAGCTCGAGCATTATTTTTAATCAAAGGTCTGTTACAATTCACCAGGAAAGACAGCATGCGTATAACTGCATAAATTAATTGAGAGTGCAACGTTAATATATGATCCAGAGAGCAGGTATACGTCTGCATGTATGAACGATGTGGACACAAAAGTTGAAATTTTCATATCCTAATGAATATGTTCCCCTAAAAAGTCCTTGTATCCTTGCATTTTTTCAAACATGTTTAACATCTTACTAAGAGAACACTTAAAACATTAACTCAATCCATCCTTTTTTAAAAGCTACCACAACCCTCCAAGTTGCGACCATTTTGGTTGCCACGGCGCCTAAAATTTTGGCAGCTGGCGACTAGAAAAAAAGTATCCCTAACCCAAAAGAGTTGGTTGCCAAACAGCGACTGAGCACAAACTCTAACTTGGAGGGTTGTACCAACAATCACACTTCTTAAGATTAATAGAAGTGATACCAAAATTCCCATTATCACCTTAAACTCTACAGTCAAACCTCTCAAATCTACACAAGGAAGGTATAGACCAAATGTCCACAAAGGAGATTTTTGAAATGATATTACAGAGGTAGGGATTGTAAGAAGTGAAGTATTGTTGTGAATAATAGAGCTATCTAACATATGAGCTATCCACATTAGGAGGTTTAACTGTAGCAGCAACTACAACTTATACAAGGGTATACAGTGGGACTTTGATAAAATCAAGGGCAGCATGTTCGCTATAATGAGGTTTTAATATTGAGTTTCTTTTCCATAATAATCCTATGCCCTCATCAGTAGTTACTAGAGTATATCCTTGATTGAGTTCGACACTGACTTCATTAATTAACAGACATCAGTGCCAAAAGAAAAATATAATAGTAAAATAAGTAAGGCTCAACTGACCCTTGTCCGCTGCCTCCAAAGCTACTCCGGGAAACTTCTCTTGGTTCTCTTGGTGACATGGCTTGTTCCATAGGCCTGTGAGACAGAAGGCTATGTGAGCTGGTTTCAAAATAATGCAATAACTTACTGACCAAACGTATTCAATAGATGAAATGTTTAAAGGGACACAATGTCATAGTTAGTTAACTATACATCAAAAGAGACCTTAACACCCTTTGTTAAAATTTCTGATGAAGATTAGTCAGAGAACTTCCAATGATACTATCGAAAGAGTGCCATAAAATTGCTTAACCTTCCAGGTTCAAAAGTGACTTATCTCATCAGCTTTCAATACAGAATGGTCATAATTACAGCCCTTCTCAAGAGTAAGTCAATACCCTATTGTGAGACTGGGTCTCTCGAGATCTCGTCTCGTAGGAGGACTGAAATACTGGTCATAATTACACTATCTTATTCAAGTCTTAGTAAAAGGCTTCAGCCAGAGACTCAAAAGTTAAAACAATTATTCAGGAAATGGCTGTGTAGAAAAATTGCAGTTACTACTTTGCTGAATTGCTGCAGCAAAGTTCTAATGTTTTATTTCTATTTCTTTTGGAAAACTACAATATTGAAATACACCCTCCAAAATTATTGTTCATCATAGAAAAATTTGAATGGCACAAAAATTTATAAAAAATTGATAACACTGAAAATATTTAGGGGGACAAAGGTTTATTATTTTTATGTGCAATTAAAATAGATAAAAATCTTGCAAACAAACATTATCAAGTAAATAATTTTGTCATTGCTTGATTTTAGTTAGTTCTATGTTGATTACTCTAGAACTTTATACTTAGACATTTTGTTTATTAGCATCACTATCAATAATTTATAACAGCTCAGTCTTACTTTAAACTTTCATTAAAGATATAATATAGCACACATAAACAGCCAGAAATGCATTTTATTTAAATTTGTTTATTAAATTTTATATAAATATTTAGGTCAAATTCTTTACCGTCTTGCTTGGGGGCCAGGCCTCGAAGTCACAGTGGGATCCAACTGCCTACTAAGAAGTCAAATGGGATTAAATTTCTTGCCTCTTCAAGAGACACTATTAATTTTGTAGAACTTTTTGCCTGGTGTTTGTAAGCTTATCTTATTGTCCGAGTTATTTTAGTGTACTTTAATTTAATGTTGTTTTTGACGGATGTTTAAAAGGACCCTATACATGAGAATTATTATGTAACATAATTTATAACTTAACTCTTCACATAAAAGCCAGCATTAGTACATTTATAAATTTTAATCTCATTATTCTCTCAAGGTTATCAATTTCAACTGTGGGTGCTTAACTGTGTTTTTTGACCGATCAAAAATACAATTTTAAAGTGATTTTTAAACAATGATTTGTAAAATGAGTTGCAAGTGTGAGAGCTGGGTTAAGAGGTTAAGAGTCTTTATTACAGGATGCCTATCAAAATAAGTAAACTAAAAAATAATTAAACAACTTTTTTTTTTTTAATTAATGCAGAAATGTAAGTAACTGGATTGGAAGAATTTTGGCTTCCAAAATATTATTATTCTGATGACAGCCCAGGCTAATGACACTGAACTACTCATAATCATCACTGACACCTACCTCTTGCTAAATCTTGATGTTAGCTTGCTCAAAATAGATGGCCTTCCACCAACTCCAGGACTATTAGGGTCAGACCTGTCAGGTCCATTTTGAGTGCGCGGGCGCGTTTGACCACTATGAAAGGTACTCCGCCCCGGCATATTCCTAGTTCCTAATCTTGAAGGAGGAGGTTGGGTGTCAGGGTTTGTTCTTCTAAAAAAATAAAAAATAAGATTATAATAATTAGAACTTGCAATATAATAATTACGAACACAAACTCAGCTTTCCAAAGGACGCTTGTTTATACAACTACAGCTTTAGGTCATTGATACATGCAATAAATATCTTGGTCACCACGGAGGAAGACAAAAAATAATAATAACAACTGAATGTTGCCTCACGGGTTGATGACAATGTGATAAGCAATCAGTCTTGTTAAAATCTCAAGTGCAGCCACATATAACCCTCTCACCCTCGGATTGTTAAATTTGTGTTAAAAAAAAAAAAGAAATGGTATGCATATGAGGAGAACTACTGCCGACAGCGCTTCTTATGACCACATGCATAGGCTAAAATTAAGAGCCACATTTCATAAGAAATGTGAGTTTAAAGAGTGAAGGAATATCTATGGGAAAAAGTACGTGCCCTAATGACATGACTACACCATATAGTACCAACTAATTTTTAAGAAGCATGGTAAGGTGTACCGAGTGCCATAGTGTTGTACATTGATTTCAGCAGAAACCAGTTTAAAGTGATCACCACTTTAATGGGATAAGAAGAGCAAGTGCAATAAGCAAAACTACCTAACAGGAAAAATTCTAAGGTGCAAAAACTCACCCAGCTCTATGCCTATTTTCCTGGTGAATAGCAACTGGTGGAAGTGACCTACGGGTGGGTGACAAGCGATTGCCGAGCTCTGATGGAGGAGGTTTGGATGAGGGTCTGCCTGCCCCTACACTGCTGCCACTAGGGCCTGGCTCAGTAACACTGATAGAAGGAAGAGAAATGAAAGGACAGTGAGAGGTTACTTTTACTTACTTATTTCTACTTCAAGTGCTTCTAAAGAGCTTTAATGGAACTACAGTGGATTTGTTACAAATACCGTATTTATTCGACTATAAGCCGATCTTCGTTATAAGCCAAGACCCTAAACTTGAAACTTGTAGAATCAGCATAAACAAGAGTGAAAAAGAATGAGTAGAGAGAATGTAATAAAAGATCAAAGCATTTTCTCGTAGGTGTTCATTTTATCAGTTCTCATAACCTAATCTCTTGACAATGTATGGATATCGTTAAGAGAAAATTGATCTTGGTCACTATTGAGACTTCAAAGGGTTAAGAGCAATGTGTTCAAAGTTGTGAGATTTGGTTTACCTGTCTCCTTTTCCATTTGTTTGGCTTGACGGTGTCTGCGAGGTACTGTTCCTGTCTTCTGCTCGCTTCTCTCCATACACGTATGTATTCCGTCTAATAATTCCTGGAGGCATGCTATGTTGCTGCAAAATGAGAAAACAATGTGAATCAGAATTTTCAACAACTAAGTTCTCATCACAGCGTACTTGAAAAAGCTCGAAATTGCTGCAGCTGTAGAAACAAAAGCCACCAGCGACAAGATCACAAAATTTCCATTCAGTTTCTGTAACCAACTACAAGTACAAATTGTTTGGTAATAATTTAATAAATAGGTCGCAAAGCCAAAAATGATATTGACAGAGCTGTGTCACAAAATTAAGCCCATTTCAGACAGTGGGAGCTGGCTACCTGACTAAGCCAGGTGTTTTTCAAGCACCAAAAAACTGTCTGATATCAAAATGCATGTAAGTGCCTGATTACATTGTCCCTGGCTTTGTAGTAAGTTTGGGGAAAAATGCCTCTCTTATTCCCTGCTCACCCTTTGTGTTTTGCCCCTCCTACTTCTGTCTGCTGCCCTTTCAGGAATCTCAGACTTGTTTGGATTTGCAGCCCGACCTATAGATGATGGCACTCGCTCATCATTAGGAACGGCATTTCTTACTCCCGGTCTATCTCGTTCACTGCGGACCACGGGTTTGGCCTGACCTCCTGCTGTCCCACCAGATTCAGTTGCCGCTCTGTCAAGATGATTCAATTTTAAATTGTAAGACAAAACTTTCAAAACTCTTAAATACAAAAAAAACTCCATCCATTACAAGCTTCCTGCAAAAGAAACAATCTGCTATCGCATAAGTTGGTGAAATATGATCATCCAGGTGACTGTAGTCCTGAATGGGACTGGCATTTCAACATGTGCAGTAGTCACCGTTAGAGTCAAAAACCACAGCAGTGGAAAAACTTTTAAAAGTTATAACTTTATACTCTCTTATTCATTATTCCTAATCTGTACATAATATGCATAAACTTTCATACTGACAGCATAATTATTTCAACACTCGCTTCCACCATAACGCATGCGAGTCTTCATTAGCATAATTTGTTTACATTGTGGAAAGTTCCAACGGCCAATGCTTTTCTACAACAACCACCTGGCTGGTTGCACGTGACACTCTCCAGCAAAGAATTTCACCTTGCTTATTTTTGTGGCAAGTGTGCCTAATTACTGCATAAATTCTATCATGTAATAAACATTCAGTTTCGTTTTTTATTTATTTGAGCAGTGCAATATTCTGTGCAAAGTTAGCTGTACCCCAAAATTACGATTAGTGTGTGGGTTAGAGAGAAACACAAAACAGAATGAACAAATGGAAGAAAGAATTAAAATAAGTCATTACAAAATTAAAAGGGTGCAACCTAAATCTATGCTTGCCTTATTACATGGCCTGTTTTATGAGGAGTGTGACCCTCAGAATACCTTCTGGGAAGCTCTCTTTCTCCTCTCTCCCGTCTTGCGCTGGCTCTGCTGGGACGGATTGGAGCAGGGACTCCAGTTGGCATTGATGTGCTTGGCCTTGGCGCACTAGTGCTTTCCATTAGAGGATCACTAGAACCATTTAACTGTAAAATATTAACACAAGACATAAGATGAAAAAAGGAGAAATGCTGAGAAAAATGATAACAAGGATAACAAGAGAGAAAAGGACTGGGCTACAATAGTGGATGTGCAGACTCTTTCACCTTAAACTGAATTTTGAAAAGAGCACATGTATATCTTACAGGTCAAATTTGATTTCAGGTTAATTTTGATTCAACCTAGGTTGATTCTCAATTTCCAAGGTCTCCTAGCCCTAGAAAACAAAGGAAATTAGGAATCAACAAAATTTTACACCTGAAATCAAATCTGACCTGTAACATATACACTGCGTTTCAGATTAGTATTTCAATTTAATGTTTGAATGAGTGAGAAGTTGTGTCAGTGGATATAACCACACATGAGGGTTTTTATGAATGTAGGAAAATGCTGGGTGGCTTTGCCGACAAATGATCATTACAGCCTTCAAACCTACGCAAGATAGATGGTTAGGGCAAAGAAAGATCAATCTCACCGTTAACTTTTGCCTTCTCTCATCCAAGAGAAGATAAGTAGCCATAACCTCGTCATATCTATTGTTTGCCAAAGCCTCTTGAATTTCGTCTCTTGAAAATCCCATTTGAAGCATAATTTCTAAACATTTAAGGAAAAGCTTGGAGGTCAGCTCCTTTCAAAAATACTCATTAACCTTTGTTAAGCTCTTCAGTCTCAATTAATATTTCACCCTCTCTACAACAAAGTCAAATATTCCACTATCTCTAAAACTATTAGTCCTCAACACTTCAGAGCCATCTGTCCCTAAGAGGAATATTTCCCACTTATTGTGTTGTTGCTTGCACTTGCATTAATTTGCACTCTGCAACTGCGTTCCACACAAGTCATTACGCAACGAAGGACAATGCAAATTCAGGGTGAAAAACATTGTCCAACCAGCTGGGAAGCAAGATGCTTAAATTCAGTGTGTAGGTGTACCCCACTGTGCTTGCATCTGAACTGGATGTTAATGGACAACTCTTGTGCTTGTACCTGTATTTGCATCACCCATGTGGACAAATCCTAAGACAAACACCACCGCAACGGGTAATAAGGATTCCTCTTAGAAAAGACGTATCTTTATGATCATTTTGATGATGGTGGCTAAATGCAAAAATGTGTCAAGACACGATTGCACTTAATACCAACAACAATCATGTAAACTCAGCGATAGAGACGAATGCTCACCTATTCTTCTTTCATCTTTAAAATCTGGGGTAGGTTCACAGTACGGTTTAAGGTCTTGATTATCATATCCTAAATTCATCCACTTGTCTGACATAATTTGCTGCAGAGTTATGAATGAATAAAATTAGTCATGACATAAACAACACATACCATTTTACATAATGGGGACAGTGTCCTTTACTGGTAAGTTTATAACATAGTCACCAGCATTGCTGATGTGCGATTGTTATACAGTGTACCAGTGTATACAACTGACTCTGTGGAAATGGGGGAACATGTGGTTGTCATTTTGTCCATAGTTTCAAGAGTGGTTATGAAAGCCGGCTAACATCAAAGATGAAAACAATGGTTCTAAATTTTGGGTGGGAGCTCCCTGACCATGCACCATTCTTTGGTTTTTGTTCACAAATTGTGACAAATCGTTTCAAATGATAGGAATGCTATTTAATGTTATGTATGGTCAAGACCATAAAAGCTTTAACGAAACACAAAAACAAAAACATAACATAACAGAGACATTTTGCAGTCTTCATGACATTTAAACTTTAATCACTACAATAATTATTAATTAATTGTTCAATGAAGCAGGGCAGTCATATTGAAAAATAAATTAATAACAGCCATGTAGGCCATGTAGGTTTTGATGACAAAGAAATTTGGGACGTTATCCTATTCCCACAAGCTAGGAAAACTTATAGAAGGAAAAAGTGCTTCTGTCAGTGTGGTTTAAAACACTTACCTCTAGTCTAGATCGTTTTGTAGGGTTTAACACTAAAAATCTCTTTAAAAGATTCTCACAATCTTTGGGGAAAACAAGCAAGATACAAATTAATTTAAATTCAACTTTCAAAATAGACTGCTTGGCCTGGCACTAAACATCCAGCAAGGGTAAAAGAACAAGACTAAGAATTCATTAGAGGGGCCACCAAGCAATAGAATGAATTTTTAGCCTTGTCTGTTTAATGGAGCTGTTGCCATTATGAGGGAGTTGACTGTTATTTTGGTATTACAGCAAGGAGCCCAAAAGCATGACCATTTTTTATTTTTGCACATTCTTTCCTACAGATTTAGTCAAATCAGAAGCCAGGATTCTCGTCATAGTAGTAAAATGACATCATCGTGCAAATGGCCTATTACAGCAAGGAGCCCAAAAGTGTGACCGCTTTTGATTTATTCACATTCTTTCATACAGATTTAATCCAATCAGAAGCCAGGATTCTCATCATAGTAGTAAAATAACATCATCATGCAAATGGCCTATTACAGCAAGGAGCCCAAAAGTGTGACCACTTTTGATTTATTCACATTCTTTCATACAGATTTAATGCAATCAGAAGCCAGCTGGAAACTGTCCTCCACATCTGATTGGTTAATGTCTGCATGAAAGAATGTGAGTTAATTAAAGGAGGTCGCACTATTGGGCTCCTAGCTGTCAGCAAAATAAGTAATAGTATAAAACAACATTTTGTTGTAAAAGTGTGATTAAGTTCTGTTGAAAAAAGTGTTTCTTCTACAAGTGCTTGTAAGTAGTAAAGTATAAGTGGTTTGCTTCTTTCTTTGATGGCTGTGCTTTTCTACCAAGTGACATGTACACGTACATACTCAACTACAAATAACATGCACAAGACAACAAGCTGCAATTCAATCTTACATACCTGTCGACATGTAAAAAGGTATCCTATATTTTCCTCTGAGAACTCTTTCTCGTAATTCCTGGTGGGAAATACAGAAGTATCGTAGTGAAATAAATATTGCAGTATCAAACAATGGAATTGAGAACACACCAAAAATCGACTTCATGTTTTGTACGAGGTGTTGAAAAAATGGCTTCCTGTTATAGTAAGCATTGGTTGTTTACTATTTACAGAACGTTTAAAGACAATCTGGTTGGAAAGTAAATGGAACACAATGGAACGTCTGAAATTAGGGTAGTCATGTTTTTCCGAAAAGAATGTTCAACATGGAAATTTTTATTGTCTTCCATTTCTTGAAAGCCGTCTTTGATACCAGTTTCAGGTTTTCACAGATTTCGTGATTCCAGGATGAAATTTATCAGCACTTAATTTTGCTGACATTATGAACCCTGAACCAACCAGTTTGCCCATGTAAATGGTGAACAACCTTAGTTTTAATTGTTAGCATTATTTGAAGTGTTGAGAATCAGAAGAGATTTAAATTAATCATTGAAAATAACTGGATTGACCCACCCCACTGATCATTGGGTTATGATATTAAAGATCTCTCAACAAGAATTCCATTTATTTTTCACGTTTGTCATACATGTAATACAAACTTTTTTTAGTGTTTTCACAATAAACAAACAAATTTAACAATCATCTCGATCTTTTCTGTGCTTTTAAGTAAACAAAATCTATTTTCCTTTCAATATAAAACCACTCACAATACAACACACAAGTCTTAAACATGTTTATGTGCCAACAAGGAATTTTATTTTTTCCAGCAATATATAATTGAGTATTGCATCACTTAAAGATTTTCCTTAATGATAAATTACAAATGATGATCAGCACACCACTAATTATTTGTGCACTGGAAAATGTCTGGTTGCTTCAGCACTCTGTAATATAGTTTTATAAGGGACAAGAAACAATGGAAACTTACTTTTAAATTTTGTCCATCAAATGGAAGAGATCCACTGACTAATGTGTATAAAATTACACCTAAACTCCAGACGTCTACTTCTGGGCCGTCATACTTCTTCCCTTGAAACAGTTCAGGTGCTGCATAAGGGGGACTCCCACAAAACGTGTCAAGTTTGTTTCCTGGAGTGAATTCATTACTAAAACCAAAATCTGCTATCTTAATGTTCATGTCTCCATCTAAAAGCAAATTTTCAGCCTGAAATGGTAAAAAGTGAATAGAATCAATGACAATATAAGTAGCATTCTGAGACTGAAACCAAATTTATGTTAGTGGTCACGAACATTAACAAGACAATCACTGCATTGACTGAAAGCAACACTGTGCTCTAAGGAAAATTGAAGGGAGCTCAGTGCTCTAAACCTGTAAATTCCATGACGTTCAGCATATGAGTTGTACCAAAAATTTTCTAGTTGCCCAAGATCAAAAGTTACAGTGTAGGTGCCAAAGGCTCCTGGGCTCTGCTAGACCACAGTCTTGAAAAGCATTCTTAGTTATTACATGATATCAAAATTACATGTTAGGTAATGGTGTTGCTCATTCCCTGTCAAAAACAGTCCAGTGCAGGAATACACTCACCCAGGTGATCATATTCCACCTACTTATAACGCGGGCCTCTAGGTTCCAACCAGTTACAATGTTGATCAATATTGCTGCATGCATAATTATTCTCATCAATTTTTCCCTTATTGTCTAAAATTTCAGTGTACAGAGCTGAAGATCACAAAACATAAACACTTAGTACATTTGCAATGGTATACCTTGAGATCTCTGTGAATAACGTGCTTTTGATGGCAGTACTGAACAGCAGACACAATCTGAAATAATAATTACAAAATGAAAAAACTTAGTAAGAATAAAAGTTAAGCTTTCTACAGGATCCTGGCTATTGATGCAACTTCAACACTTTAAAAGGATAATTAGCAATTATTGGATAAGTGTGAGTATGATCTAAAGAATTACAGAGATTGAGAAGGGTGTTATTGGCTGAGGCGGATAGCACCCTCCAAGATCTCCATAAGTCTTCAAACATTACGAAAGCCAAATTTCCAAACTTGGCCAATCCTAGCTGGCTCTGAAGACTTAGCCATGGGATTTGAGCCAATCAAAACCTGACGAATATTTTGAATGAACTATAATAATACATGTAAGCTTGCCACTACAGAGCCTTATGGGTAAAAAAAAAAACATGACAATCACCTGTCTGAACTTTGCTCTTGCCTCTTTCTCTTTCATTCTTCCATGTGCAACAAGGTAGTCGAAAACTTCACCTGCAAAACACAACATAGAGGCCATGTAAGGGTAAATTCAGACAAGCGACATGGTCTTAAAAAGGGACATAGGACAGCAGAAATGGCAACAAATGACACAAAGATGGGCTGAAACTGCGATAAAGACTGAGAAAGGTGCAAATACAATAATAAAAATTAATACTGACAGCGACATGACTTCCTTAACATGTGAAACAACAGGTTTTGATATTCAAACAAGGGACATACGTATACCCCAACCACCCCCCCACTGCCCCCTCCTAAGAGGACCTCAATATAAAGTAGATGCATCATTTTAAACTTTGCCTAACCAACAAGAATGTAGAGGAAAACATACTTAGTGGGACATGTTACTTCAGTTATGGTAAGTAAACATTTTCAGCTCGGCCAAAAATAATGTGTAATCATATGGTAATAAGATAATTCCCTAACTATTAGAGATTACTATTGCATTACCTATTAATAATTTTATCATGGTTGACAAATAACACACAACACCACTGATTTTTGAACTTGCTTATTGTATCATTAAAAACTTATGAAAAAATTTTGCAAAACTTCAGGAGTAATTTGTCACCCGTGAGCCCTGGCTACTTTCTTAAGAAACAAAGGGAAAAATAAAACCAAAAGAACTTTGTAGCGACTCATTTCCCCACCAACCAATTGGACATGCCTGGCCTCATCAAATGAAAGCCCTGCGATAGATAATTTCAGTGTAGTTAAGCTAATTTTTAGAAGTGACATACCTCCACTGGCATACTCCATCACAAGATAAAGTGTCTTGTCAGTTTCAATGACCTCGTACAATTTAACTGCAACATTTTTAGAATATAGTAAACTTAGAGTAAAAATAGGGTCTAAGCAAGTGCTCACAGAGGGCAAGGATGGAGCAGTGGTGAGAGCACTCGCCTCCCACCAGCGTGGCCTGAATTAAAACCGCCGTGTTAACGCCATATGTGGGTGTTGAGTTTGTTGTTGGTTCTCAGCCCTTGCTCTGAGAGGTTTCTCTACAGGTACTCCACTTTTCCCCTCTCCTCAAAACCTACGATTCCAAATTCCAATTCCATGAGGAATCAGGTAGAGGAAGAACCACTAGTGGTTGTGCCATCTTTAAATCATCATTTGTTTCATTTAGTTAAGTGCCCCCTTCCAGCCCCCAGCCAAAATAAAAAACGTCAAGTTAAAAATCCCACTGGGCAAGAGGAGAGTTCACTAGTTGGCAATTTACAAGCATGGCTGAGCAGTTGTCCTAGAGACTACTAAAAAGCAACTCCAGCTAGAACCCATAGGGCACAACAAAGGCAAGCATGGTTCCATCGAAAAAAATAAATAAATTTTATTTTTAAAGGCATAATGGTCACAGGAAGAGCATAACAGCCTGGGAGATTTGAACTGAGAACAAGAGTAACAAACAAAGAGAAAAATTCTATGCACACTTACCAATATTAGGATGGTCAAGAAACTTCATAATCCTGACTTCTCGAAACAGCTGAAATAACAAAATCCTTTTATTAGAAACTAATCATAATACCAAAATAGTGGTGTTTGTTCTAAGCTGTTATATCAAAACTGGATAGTACTGAGTGATACCGACTTAAATCCACAAATGAAGATGAAAAGTACCTACAGGTATACTATGGCTAAAACCTGTTCCAGTTGTGACTTTTTTAGAGCACAAAATATTACTGTGACCTTTCATACTATTCTGTTGCAGCTGTATGCAATAATAATTTGTTGGCTAAATAATGTCAGAGACAAGGAAGTAACATTTGGGCAACAAAATCTAAACAGCTTGGATTAGGAAATCTCAATCACACAGATCAGTGAACAATTACTTTGCTTTGCATTTAAGGTTCATTCATTTATTCATTGTTTATTCCCCATATTATCACACTTCTTGCAAAAAGGTACAATTTAAAGAAAAATAAAAGAAGGAGAACAGAAAAAAAGCTAATGGTCAAAAAATAATGTGTTCTGACAAGACTTAAGACAAATGAGAATAAAACAAAAATATGGACCAGAAAAAGTAAAAACAGCTTTTAATAGTAATGTACCTACTACTTTAATTCAAGCTTTCAAGATGAGAGCATTTTAAAATAATACCTTCTGAGAAAAACAGTATATTTTCAAACGATGCAGAGTACATGCACTGTATGCAGAACTATTACATGCTTGACAAGGCAATTGTTTCATTCTCATTATAAATACCAGCCATGAAAAGAAAACGACACATAGAAATGATGAACGTGATTTGATTTGAAAATTGAAAGTACTGTACATTATGATTGATCTTTCTTCTCATACGAGAAACAAAGCAACAATCACTGCTCGGGCAATCCACCTAATCAAAAATCTTCTAAAGCTTTGACCAATTGTTTTTACCACAGTACAGTAGTTTACAAAAGAAATGTTCAGATCTCATTCTGCTGAATAGAAAAAGAATTTAACTTTCCTTGACAAAAGCAAAGGACATACCGGTAATTTATTTTAAGAATCTTTGATATCATAAAGAAAATACAAAAAATGTAGGTTCACAGCTAATGGTCAAACTTGGGGTCTGGCATTAAAAACTCCACAAATCACTTGAAAATACTACCTGTTTTACATAATACACTTATTAACATACACTTAGAAATATCAATGAAACTGTCTTTGTTGTCTTTTGGCAAGCACTATACATGTATACCTGCTTAGAAAAAAATCTACCAAAATGCTGGACTAGGGTACACAGGAAATAACTGTAACTTGTCAAACCTAACAGTGCTTATGACTTTTAAAATGTTTCAAGCAATACAAGTTTATTGCAGATGATGCAAATTGTCAAGCCTTTTTTGCCAGTGCAGAAAAAGAAGCCATAAAAATTACCAAAATGTGGTGAGAGACCCACAAGAATGAAATATTTGGTAAGCTGAAATACTAAGAGCCAAGAGGAGGAAACTTAAAGTACTTTTGATTCAAATATTAATGAATAATCATATGGATGACGCAATGCCTGAATGAAAACAATTACAGAAGGGCAGTCGTCTATCAGCCTTATGGTCATTAACAAGTTAATTCTGTTACTATAAAAAAAAATTGTACAAGAATTTGTTAGAATACATGTAAAATGTTAATGCAATGTTGAGTCTAGATGCAGCTTTTTTGATCACTACAAATTCATGTACATACATGTATACTATAGCCGTTCTGTTTCCATTCCAGTGAAAATAATACAAATCTGATTTGATCACAAAATATGTTTAAGAAAGAAAAAAGATTTTCCAAAGCCCTATATCATTATTCTCCTAAATAACTGGTGCACCTGTACGCAAGAATCAAAGCCAAAAAGTTTGAAAATTTGTTAACCATAAGCTCTTTGCCAAAAACCATAATGAGTGGAACAAAAATGCAACATAAAACTTAATGAGTTAAAAAATCATCATAATAATAATAATAATTAATGTACATAGCACCATTTCCAATGATGTCCAATGGTGCTTTACAATAAATGTTTAAAATAATTATTCCTAATAGAGTTTATAAGAGTATCACATTGTGAAATTACATCACATTGAAATAAATTTTAACTACTACAAGGCTCAAAGTTTAAATTTGAGTTTGGGAGCACTTGTGCTACCAGATGTGAATTTTTAGGCACACAGCTGACAAGTTTAGGAGCACAGCTTATAATGTTGGGACCATCTATTTCAAAAGAAAAAGTAAAGAGCTTAACAATAACACCGTGCCACCCTCATATGTCATCTTCAATTTGTTACTTCTATTTCAGTCCTGTGACTGATAAAACACAGTCAATTTGCTACACAGTAATACCGTTTTAATACTAATTTCTCTTTTTGAAAGTACAGTTGTGACTAAACAAAACTTACACTTGAAAAAAATTCAAAACTGACGACAATGAGTGTGTCGAAAGAGAATGAAAATTAATCTTTAATGAATTTGTTAAATGCGCAATGACTTACATGTAACTGGGATATGACTTAAATACTTTCTTACCTAGAAAAAAATGCTCTTAATCTGCACTACTTTTGTTTTGATTGACCTTAAAACTGAACGCTCGACATGATCGTCCATTGCACAAAAAGCATGTGTTTCATTCGTAGCATCTTTGCGTGTATCAATGGAGTTTATTTCAAAACACAAAAGTCTGGGATTGAGTAAAACATCAAAATGAAAATGAACATTCGAGTTCGTGGAATCCATTGGGAGAAAAGACAAATTAAACATACACAGATGAAAGGAAAACAATGTAAGATATTATTTAGAGCCTGGTTGTGCTATTTCTACATTATGTTTACTTTCATTGCTTAAAGCTACTGTTTAATGTCTTTCTAGTTTGAGTACGTAAGTATGGTTGGAAGCGAGTCGGTCGCACTGTGCTTTAGGTTTTATGGTGCACAAGTGCAACTACACATGGATTTTTAGGCGCACAACCAAAACCAGATAGTCGTTAACTTTGAACCCTGACTACAACAACGTCGTAAGTTGAGTAGTGTAAAATGAAAGTCTGCAATTTGAAACTGCTTTCTCCTACAGAAATGAAATATTTCAAATACCTTATTGGTACTTAATTTAGCATTTTTTGCGACTCTGGAAAAGTCCTGAAATTTTAGATCTGCAAATAAAAATCCCCCGAAAATTTAAACACGTGAAATTTAATACCCATATAAAAAATTCAAATCACAGAAAAAAAATTAATAACATTAATTTAATAACTAGTCTAACATACACTTAACATGATATACAGTATGTTTCAACAAACACTGACAAGTTATTAGCTGGTTTTACTGGTATGTTCCATTCCATATTTATGTCTTCTGCTGTGAAATAGTGTAAATATATGCTTTGCTTCTTTCGTTTAATCTTGGTATTTGTAAAAGACTGAAAATCAAGTTGAGAATGCTTGAATTGCAAAATTTAATGCCATTTTTCAGATTTGCCTATTGAAATCACGAAAATAAAACCCCACAAAATACTGTCTTGTCAAAATTGTGAAATTAAGTACCCGCGAAATTTTGTACCGATAAGGTAAGTTAATCTAGCCTGAATTTCAGACATCCTTTCGAGTCAAATACTCCTCTCAGGAAGGTCTGAATCAACGGGCCACTAATGCCGTCCAGTGACATTACTACTCCTATGCTCAAATAACTCATGCAAAAAGTAAAACACGATTTTCAACTGGCAAACAAAAAAAATATCATACAGTAGATTCAGAAATCCCTGATAGGAGTATGCGACTTGAAGGGAAGCTTGAAATTCAGGCTAAGTTGGTTTTGCAAGTTTATTTTTGCTGTTACTCTCTCTTTCATTGCAACATATACCGAGCTATATTTTCTTTTCCTCAAAAATACAATTTGAGTTGATAACTTAATGTTTTATTTTTATTATTTCATTAATCTATTCACTATTTTTTTTTTATTCTTAGAATTAGTTTATGGGACATGCAATCAAGTCGTACCAGTTGAATTCATAGACACCTTAATTTTGTATGGTCTTTGGGGTGGTGGCAGCCAACATGAAACCGCTACAAAGCTTTTCACTGGGAACACTGCTTTTTCCACACTATATTACATGAACTTCTTAACAAAAAGTGGGCAGTTTCTGATATGCTTAATGGTCAAGAGCCATTATCGTGTATTAGTAAGAAGGGTATAAAATTGGACATGATGTAATGTAGGCACAATAGTTTTTCTCAGTCTTGTGCACAAAACTTTCCAAGAAACTTTGCTATAATTTGCATTTCAAAATTATTAGTGTTATCGTAACAGAAAAATCAACCACAATTTTCTATTGTCTACATTCTTATATTATAGATCAGAGCTGCCAACAGCACCAAAACACAAGCAACAGTTGAGTTTTGAACATTTTGATAGTATTCTATGGTTTATAATATTGAATGTTAATAAATGGAAATTGTAGATGGATTTGCCTGGAACTTTCATTATATACAAACATAGGAGTTGAAATGCCACAAAAAGCTTTGTCAAGGTACATCAGATTTTTGCCTGTAGTTCCCTGCATTTTTATCAAGCCAGTGTTTTACCAGAGTTGTTAACAACATTATGCAAAGAAGACTATTTCAAAAAAGCAAGGCCAGTAAACAAGGCTATATAAACATGAAGCCACATTTACACGCCCTCTGCAAAGATTCCGAGACTTGTAGAAAAAGCAGTAACCAGATCAAGAACTGCAGTAGAAACAACATAACTACATTACAGAAGAAACAATCACTTAATTTCAATGTTGAGGTCTACCAAATTAACTCCCAGAATAAATTTAACTCCTATATTTCAGAGTTTCCACATTTTTTTAAAGACTGAAAACTACACCTTGCTACATTCTGGATTTCCAAAGTAATACAATCACAGACTTTTCCTTGCTCTACAGGGTATGGAAAAATGCCTTAATTTAATTTATCAAATACAAAGGTTAGTAACTGTAGTCAAAAGGCAAGCCCCAGATGTATTAAAAAAACCCTTCCAAATGAACATGAATTCTAGCTCTTAGAACATGTGTGTAAAATGAGCAAATTGGCAGTAATACACTGTAACTCAGAAATAAATATGACTTTCAGCTTTCTAGACACAAGATTTGCATGTGAAACTCACGACCACATCAACGAATATTAAACGAGAATGAGAATGAGTCGTGACGTAATACTAATCCCAAACGTAACGGATTCAAACTGTTTCGCTTTATTTTCGGATTAGCTCTATCCCCACGAAAAGATTCCATTCTATTGACGACGGGTAAACAATAAAATCTCTGATAAATCGTTGGTCAACCAGGTAGATTATTTGAGGTTATACAGGAATTGAGTGTTCCAAATGCAACATTTACTTTCATTGAGACACCGCATGGACATTTAAGCCATAATAGTTTCCGTAATTGAAAAATTTCCACGCGACGATACATGCCCTGAAAGATGATCATCAGACCAACAGTTCTCCTATGTTCTACAACCCGATGTTAAACGCGAGACAATCTAAAAAAAAAACACGTGCAAAATGAACGAACACTTTATTAATAAAACAAAACTTCAGCTAGTGCAATCTGAAGTTTTCGCTTCGCATCTCTCGTTGCCATGAAGAATCAAGACACGGCATCATTATAGGATATTTCAACATTCATATCAGAACTGTAAATATTCGAATCCAACACAATACAAATTTTCCTCAAGGAACTAATTATACTTGGAGCCGATGCAACTCGGCACGGAATTGCAGTGAAATGAAGTGCACTCATTGGAATCGATAACCTTCCAATACCGAAACACTGTTTCGCGTGCCAAGTTGGTAAAGTTTTGCTTCCAAAGAGTTTAATCAGAATGAATCTCAAGAAAAATATCAACACTTAGTGATCTAATCTTAATGTTAGCAGAGAGTTCTATTAAACGACAACAATATGTAAACGAATAATTTAGGCTTGGAATATAGATTTTTTATTTCTTAAATCAATCGTCGGAAGAAAATCAACAGGGAACATCAGATTTTGGAGTAAATCGTATCAAGACATTGCTTGACCAAAACAATCTAAGGTTGGTAAATCACAACATTTTACAAAAAAAATTATAATTTAAGGACTTTAGTGCGCTCTTCAAAATAAACCGAAGGCTCGAACGTTGCTTTCGAATACGTAATTACATGCGAAGAGCTTGCATGCAATCAGAGAGGCCACGGTGAAAACAAGCTTTACACTTCGGTTATTTTCCCACAACAATACGAGTAAGGTACGCTCACCTTTTGCAAGCTGCTCGGATTGAGCTGTGTCTTGTCGATAATCTTGATCGCCACCTTTAAAAACGGTAAAAACACAAGAAAAAGTGAGGCGTTGGAGCCGGTCTGTGTTTAATTATTACACTACATCTCTCGCAGCGAGCAAACAAGCGAGCCGATAAAAAACCAAGAATCTACAAGTAATTTCGCGATTGTAAATAGAGAATGATGGCATATATTTACCTCTTTCCCCGTCGGTACATGTTTGGCAAGTTTTACTTTAGCAAAATTCCCTTTCCCAATGGTTTTTATAAGGCGATATTTGCCGATATGGACATCCTCAGGGTTCGATGAAGATGACCGATTTCTTGTGGTTCTAGAACTCGCCGATGTAGAACTGTGGCCATCGGGGACCTACAGAAAATCAGAATAATAGCAAATAAAGAGTTATACGATTGCCAATGTCCAAGGATCAAGGAAGTAGCTTAAGATGTGCGATGAATTAGCAACTTAGCGAAAAATTGCCACTCATTCGCAGACCTTGTCGGGAGTTGGCCCACTATGACTAAATGGTCGCGCAGGTCGATACGACATGCTTGTAACATTTTTTGCGCCCAAATCCGTTCGCTATAACTCTTCAATAAACTTGGACAGCACCAGAAATGCGTCTTCTAATAGCCTTTACAAAAACGGGGAGCCATTGATATGTGAAAGCGCCGCAAACCACGGCAGACTCGATGACAAGTACAGTCGAAACTCGACAGTCTTGTTTAAATACGGCGTCTTGACGAACAAAGCCAAAATTTTCGACATTCACCTTCGATGTGCGGACCCTCGGTCGATCTTGGCCACTATGTTCCATGGGCAAAACGTGGTCTCAGCCCGTTCGAAGCCGTGTTGCCGACTGACCGAATTTCAAAGCCGTCCTTCCAGCTAAATTTTCCACTAAACACCACAAAAATCAAATGTTACTGTGGGGTTCAAACATGGAGGCCGGGGAAATTGTGACCGAAGTGGCACGGCCTCTGCGCACTGCACGAAGCCGCTCCAGACTCCCTACACGCCCCTCGGTCAAGCTTCGATGCGTCAAAGTGAAGTGCCCCGGGTCTAAGATGCAGTCGAGTGAAAGCAAAGCTTTGTTCTGCTCAAGCCTGGCGGAAAACGTCGGCAGAGGGAAAACAATAGCCATCGGATGCAGGCGGGAAAATAAAAAAGACATTCTAGAAGCATTCACCAAAAAAAGGCACACTCCTTTTCCTTAAGTGAAAAATGAAACTTCCGAGCAAATATGAAATGTCATCAAAAGAGGGCTAAACAGGATTATCCGCGGCACACACTGAACAAAACTGAAACCTGATGTCATTCCTTTTGACTGCATTGTATTTTCTTTATTGTTTTATTTCTTTATTCACAAATCTGGAAATAATGAAAATGTTGTACTCATCCTGATCCTGAAGGATCCTGATAGTATCATCCACGACATGTGATTTTTTTTTTCCTCTACTTGGGTTGCTGATAAAAGAATGTACTTCACAGAAAGTTGTTCTAGACAAAGAGAAGTTTGAAATGAACTTTTATGGTACCTAACGTGTAAAATGTATTTCACAGTTTTGCTAATCACTTCTTGTGGTTAGATGAACACTAGCGATTCCGGAAGTCTTAAAAATGCATTTTTATACTTAACTGGAATTCAGGGTTTTCGACGCGCACTAGATACAATTTTCGGTATTGAACTTAAGTTATTGCAATTCGCTTAGAAACGGGACTTGAAAAAAGTAGATTGTGTAGCCGAGTTTTTTCTCATTTCCATGGCCAGTAGACTCACTCCATCTCTTTTCAGTTCTAAGAAACTATAACCTGGAGGGTATCGGTTAAGCCTGAATAAATTACTTTGGAAAACAAAATATAGATCTCTATAGGAGAAAAGTAATGACAGAAAAAATTTCTTATGCCATTTTTAAAAGTTTCTTCCCTTATAACACTCCTGCAAGCGCGAAGAGATTGTATCTATCGGCAAAAAAGTAAAATCATGTGGCAACTGATCACCAGCCATTTCCGGCATGCACAAAAAAAAAATAAATATTGCCTCCTAGATCCTATTTTTGCAACAAAAATTAAGTCGGTTTCACTAATGGGCAAACAAAATCTACAAGCACCGCATTCAAAACTTCTTAGCCTGAAACATTGACATTCTTTGAAACCGCCGACAGCATTTGTACTGATCAGTGTTGAATTGAAATACCCCTTCTCTGGCGAAGTTGACACTACAGATATTTAATACAATGTGCTTGATGGCACAAACCATTAACTTAGAGATTTTCTGATAAGCCGTAAGCACCTAAGTGCCTCAGCAACTTATATTGTTTGACTCCATTAATTTATTAAAATGAAAAAATATCATAGTCACGCAAGGTGATCGCTAATTGGTTCAGCCATAACTTCTGGAAAAGGTTATTAACTCAAACTTATCCATTTTCCTACTGAGCCCAAATTTTAATTTAAGATGAACAAAGAAAGGTTTCCTACACCGATTTAGCTTCAAAAAAATGTTGAGATAAAAAGACAACCATTAGTTGTCTAAAGTAATCGGCCGGGGACAGTACTTCATTCAATCATATTTTAGTTATATATATATATATAGGTATGTGCGGCGACAGTTGGCCTATGCATGGTTTTTGCACTTTAATTTGGTCCGATATAAGGTATTGATGTTAACCTGCATGATGCACAGTTTGGATCTGAAAAAGGGTAACGATATAATTGCGATTTATGGTCTCTGCAGAACCAAGACCAGATTAGAGGGTCACAATGGGGTTAACCGTTAGTCGTGAAATATAGCCTAACTGAAGACTGAGTATTCAGCTGTAAAATATGGAAATTTTTAACTGTTAATCGTAAAGTAAGTCAACCGTGAATGTTTTCCCGGCTCACTACGGTTTGTAAGGTAGAGAGTCAATATTGCTTGTTAGACTTGTTTCGACTTTAGGTGTCTTAATTTTTTTGTCTCGATAGTGACTGACTGGCCCTATTTCAGCACCCTGGAATGGTCCTTAGAGGTCTGAACCGATGGAATCTTCAGAACCTTTTCTATGATTTTCTTCTTCAGATGTCTGCTACTCGAAACGGAGTTGGCCAATTACAACCGAGATTCATTGTCCAGCATTGAGCCAATCACAACTGTAAGCCGTAATGAAGCGCAGGAAAAAGAAACATAATGCTCAGAAAAAAGATAGCGCGAGTTTCTTGGGAGGCAAATGATCATGGTGGCTATCTTAGTAAAATTTATTATTTTAGCTGTTTTAAAACTCTCGATCGTTAAAGATCTAGGCCTGTTCCCCGACAAATCAGTAAAATGGAGCTATGCGTCTTGTTCTAATTTTTTTTTGTTAGTCTGGTGGGATCCGGATCTGGGGACAGGGGGTGGGAACCCAGGAAGAATAGGGGAAGAAGGGGTGAGGCGGGAGAGGAAAGGGTGGGAGGTGGGAGTGCTAAAAGAATAAAAAGCGCGAGGGAGAAATAGGGGGAAATTATGCAACATTGCTTAATATTTCGAAATCGAAAACCGACTTAAGAGAGGAAGCCAAGCTGAGAAAAGGGGCGGGAGTATTGTAAGGTACGGGAGGTGGGAGGTTTGGACCCTCCCCCCTTCCCCCCCTGTCCGCCAAAGAATGCTATTATGCGACCGTTCAAATGAAACCTAGTTGTCACTGAGGATTTTCGTAAGGTACTATTTGCTTTTGGTCAGTATGTTACTAAATGAAATTGGACAATTTACTTTAATTTGATTTGAATTTACCCTCCCTTGGCAAGGATACATTAACCGACGGTTGCCACAGAAAGAGTCATTTTCTTCTAAACAATGCAAAACCTTCCAAAAGATATTATTCGAAGCAGATAAAAATTTCCTTTAATTAACGAATGTTTATTTTGCCTTTTTTATGCAAACTCACGAAAAACATTTCTGAACGACATAAAAAGCTGGTGGCGCCAGAAGTCTGAAGTAATAAAAACAAAGGTATAAAAAACGAAAATATCAAGAATAATGACTTCTTTTGACATTGTAAGGCATAATGGTTCCCTCTAAAGTTTAAAAATAACAGAAACATTGAACGAGAAATGGGAACGTGACAATAGACTGCAAAACAGTCGGTTTTTTTCTCAAAATCAGTAAAGAAATCGGTAAAGCGTGGCGTAACAGTCTTACGCGCGCGAAGCGCGCGAGCCTCACACGCTCATTCCAGACCTTTTGTTTGACTGCTCGCGCGTACTTGAATACGCAAAAATACGGATTGTTTTGCAGTCTAACGTGACAAGGAAATTAATAGTTCTTGGACTTGATTCATTTTTTAAAACTACTGCTTTTAAAAGGTGTTGCGATTTTAAAAGAGTTAATTAAAAACAGTCCAAAGTCGGATTTAACAAATTAGATGTTTATCTTCAGTGATCTTAGAATTCTGTGCACACCACTCTGGTTACCTCGACTACCTACCACATCACCAAAAAAACGACACGCTCTGGAACCGTCCAAGTAAACTCGTCCCCAGGCTTTTACCTTAAAAATGGGAGGGGCACTCCTCGGCCCCTCCCATTTTCCAAGGGAAAAGCCTTTGGGACAAGGTTGCCGTCCACGTTACAAGTGTACCTGGCGCGCTTTTTCGAATTCATCGCTTACAAAGCTCATAATCAAGGCCTATTTTCAGAAGTTTTCCTAGATACGACTAAATAAATGGAAAAATGTGACAAAGACAATTATTTTTCTTGCAAAGGATAGACTTGTCACGCTTTAACCAATGTTAACCAGTTCGTGGTCCCTTTTGTGGGGAGAGTTAAAGGTCGATGGGGGTTCGACTGTTATCAAGGAGTTCCGCTTGTTCCCACAACAAAAAGAAAATGTTATGAGATTGCAAAGATTAAACAAGACTTCCGCCTGAAGATGATAAAGTACCGAAAAGTGTTTTTGGACGTGCAATCTTCTATTTTAGTATATCCTTATTTAGCCAAGACGGCTACATCATAGCTTCGTTCGTTCCGGAAAAATATCTTCAACTATATTGCCCGTTATGAAAAAACCTAATGGCATCGCCTGCAGACAAAACTACGCAAATGCCTGAGTTCACTTACAACCAACGTAAACAAACCCTGACAGAAAGAATCATTACTGACTAGAGCGTCCAGTCAATCTGGGCACCCCGGCTGATTTGGGTTCGTCATGAAAAATACTTTTACCTAGCAATCATGTTTCACTAATTCTGGCTCCGATAATAACTGCTCTGAGACGAATGCGCCTTAAATTCTACGTCTAATTAACAAGCTCTATTTTTTAAGAAATGAGAAATGAAAGTATAAAAACTGGCCGGTGATCTCTATATTAGGAAAGTTCCGGACTTAGACATATAGGTTATACTCTTTACGTGCCGTTAGAACTTATTTAGCCGATTAAAGCAATATATCGGAACACAAAATATGTTACAATAAACCTGTGTCTTTGTAGATTGTAAATAAATTTACGTATGCAATTCCTCGTACAGCATCTGTTCCCGTGTCGTTCATGCGAGTTTGATTTTCATGTCAGTAAGGGAGATTTCCCTAAAGTCTTTCACAAATTGGAGTTTAGAACATACTTGAAGAATTAAGAAACAAGTTAAGTCAAACGGCTATCTTGGGGTCTGGGCTGCCTGTGGTTCCTGCGTGGCCTCAAGCCGCACGCTACGTTTTTTGTCACACGTCTGGACAACAATTTTAATTGAAAAAACTCACGGTAGGTCTTTCACGCATAGACAGTGTATTTTGTTCAAACCAACAAGGTTTTCCTATTGTAAGTGTCATTTCCAGCTCATCAAGAGTCTGTTTCGATTCAGTACA